GTCTGAGATGGCATGTATTTATTTAAAAATGTAACTTATTATGGCATGGGGTTCCATGCCATTGTATTAATATTAAAAGACAATTCTTTGAGAGGATTTGCATTATACTAGAAGTGTTACAGCATGTTATTGGAAGTCTACGTAGTTCTTTTATTAATAAGGGGAAAGTAAAGATTGAATGGGGACTTGGGCTCCACCTAGACTCGAAGCAACTGAGCCAATATTAAAAGGATGGAAAGAAATTGAACAACGATGACAAGGAGAAGAGAGAGGTGAAGCAGTGGCAGGGGGAGAAGAAGTGATTGAGTAGACATTTCCTTATTTAAAATAAAATGGCATGTGCCTCAATGCAGTTGAATTTTGTTATATTTATATACTATATAAAGGTTTGGAAACCTTATTTTACAAGTGGGATAATGACAATTTTCACTTTAACGAAATAAAGCTTGTATAGCTTGTTGGTCGAAATAAGAAAGAACTGAAGCTGCTCAGGCTTGGAAATTTCCAGCAGAAGCTGGCCACTGAAATTGTTCACGCCCATGTCAATGCGGCTCATGTTGACGCACAAGGACAAAGAAACAGGAACTTCCCATGCAGCATGTTGAATGCCATGTCAAAGTTTGTCAACGCGCTCAAATTTCATTCCTGGGATGAGGCTTCAAAAACCTGGCAAGTAGATGAAGTTTTGCGATGGAATGCTGCCTGTTATCTGGTGGAAGCCTAGTTCCAGAACCTCCATACGACTCCATCGGCCTGGAAATCGTAGCTAAATGATTCCAACTTGTTCGCAGCAAGTCGTGCGGAAAGAGAAAAGTTGGAACTTTTCCTTCGATGTCATTCCTCTTCCAGGAGCAGCTCTACCAAATTTGAGAGATTCACAACGTCCCTTGGTATGGAACCATTGTAGCTGAGATTAAGAGGCGTGTCCCAAGGAGCTTGGAAGCTGGCCAGTGAGACGATTGCCACAGCAGGAAAGCTTCTCAAGCCTTGAGCACCGTGCTAGGCTCGAGGGAATCTCACCATCAAGTAAGTTCACATCAAGAGAAAGACTTTGCAGCATGGAGGGCTGGCCCAGAGAATCCGGGATCTTTCCTTGGAGATCGTTGAGCGTGAGATCGAGCGACTGTAGCCTCGGGCAGTTACCCAGGGTCGATGGAATCTCCCCCGACAAAAATCAGACATGATCGAGGATTATTTTAAAGAAAAAAACCACATGATATTGAACATCGGTCAGTGGGTGAAGTGTGTACTGTCATACACCAAAGCAACCAAGGAGGTAACATCAGACATCTAAGCTTCACATGGCCAGTGGCAATGGACAACTGTGTTTTATTACCAACCTAGTGTATATCTCTTAAAGATTTTAATGACAAAAAATGCTGCAATTGCTACAGTTAGTTAATGCTTAGCTTCCAAAAGAAAAAAGAAGAAAACAACCTCTTTCAATTAACAGCGTATGTGTGTGAGTGTGTGTGGATTCACACCCTCTGTAGATATGGAACAATATCTTCGTCTCTTCCTCGCCATAGCCTTGCAATTGGCCAGTAATCCTTGAAAGCTTATAACAACATGTTTGATCACCGGGGGCTACTTGGCCCGCTCTTCTTTAATTTAATACGTGTTCAAATAGCTTTCAGGTTATACTGTATCCAACGTTTAGGTTTGATGCAGCTCTTCAGGAATGGCTACAAGCAAAGTTTGGCATATCGTTCTGAAGCAACCGTGGAGGGCAGTCTAGACGTTTCTCATCCCGACCCTTGAACTCTCAGGTACACGGTGTTTTGATTCTATTTAAATTCCGATGTAGATCCTTGATCTCGAAACTCTAGGCAGTTTGCCTATTTCTTTCCCTAATCCAAAACCTTTCAGGCGCATGGGTGACAAAACTCAATTCTATCATTGGGGCCAATGGTCTCAGTGTAGCATTGTCTCCTTAACTGGGATGGTCTCCAGGTCTGGCTGCTCTGGTGAAATCGATTGAGATAGCTATTGACTCTCGTTGCCTCTATTTCTGAAATGACCAGGAGTTGTTCAAATTCTGTTCTAGATGAATAGGCATGTGGTTTTTAACTGAGATGGAATGGAAAAATGTCTGTCTCTTCCTCGCCATAGTCTAGAGTGATGCTTGAAGCAACCCAGTCCCCAAACTAATGTCCAACATCCAAGCAGTGGTTGTTCCCCCTGCTGCCTACAGATAGATATGAGCAGATCGTAGTGAAGGAATAAAGAAACAAAATATTGAAGAGTACATGGAGAGGCCATACCTTAAGATTTCTTCTCTTTTGTGCTGATCTTGGCCAGCAACGAAAAGAACAGGTAGACCATATATATGTAAACGTCCAAATTCTGCAATGTCGAGATCTTGACATTGCCCAAAGTACATACACATATTCGAGTCAGGCACTCATTCCAGAATGATGTTCACAGTTTTGCCATCCACCATGACATAGAGCATGGGATCATTGGTAACAACCAGCTGATATTCAGGTCTTTCTGCCTCGCTAATCCCATTCTGCCACAGAACAATATCAATGGTCTCCTTTTCAATCAGTGGCGTCCTCATGCAGTGTTAAATAGTAGCCACCACTGGCGTCTTCAACCTTCTTCTCTGATACCAATGTTAAGATCCTATCCCTTACACCCTAAGTCAACTGGCTAAAGGGGTGATCATTACCTTTCTTTATCTTATTATTCTGACCTGGTGCCTAACAATCTTCCCCCTCGTCAGGGAATGATTGTCCGCGATCATACTTAGTCACCATGGTCCTTCTCTTAGGGTCTACCAAACCTTGGTTCTCCCTCTAGATCCACCATGTTGAATATTCCTTCAGAATATTCCTGCCCCACTCGTCAGCCACGAGAATCGAACTGGGCTCCAATACCATTGTTAGGATCCTATCCCTTACACCCTAAGCCAACTACTTGCTATGACATCGCCGTCATTGCTCATGAGCAAGAGCAAGCCTTGTAGCGCGCGTTTGGGGACACAAGCACTTCATTCATAGTCAGCTTCTCTCCAACATTGAGAGCCTTGAGGACAGTGGGCGAACCACAAACTCACACTGGAGACAACAAGCAAAGTCAAGAGATGCCGGATAGAAAGCCCCTGGAGGGCTGCAATAACAATATATAGCCTGGACAGCGTAGATTGATTATACTGACCCTCGTTCAGTTGCCATATATACAATAATAACACGCCATAAGGACCCACTAAGGGCATCATCTTATCTACCACTAGGCAGAATTGGGGACGGGTTCAACGATGGCAAGAACATCGTGCAGGTTTGTGGTGGCAGTGAGGTACTCACAAAGTCGTCGTTGCTGTTGTTAGAAGATTATATTTAGAGAGAGAGAGAGACTTTCACATGGCCAGTGACAGTGGACATTTGTGTTTATGTCGATTTTGACTAGATGTGGGAGTGGAAGATGGAGACTCAACGAGCAGATCTGGTGTTTCTGCACCAAAGAAAAAGAAACCAAGATTGGGCAAGAAGGGCCTGGGCATATAGAAAACCAAGGTTTGCTATTCACTTACCACAGATTTCAGGAAACTAATGCATGGCAAATTCAAAAAGAAAAGGAAATGATAAACAAAGAGGAGAAGTGCAAGCTTCAAAGAGTGAGCATTAGCAAAAACAGGTACTAGAAATTTTTCGAAGCTCATTCAAGGTCTGCCCAGCATTTCAAGATTTAGAGGTGCGTTTAACGCGAGAAAGGTTCCGTCTTCGCCTCTCCAAAATCCAGCTGACGAACTTTAAGCTAGATCGATCATGCTAAGCATTGTAGGGTAAGCACATGAGTTAAAAGTTTTTATTTTTCATTGGCACAAAACTGAGTGGAGCATCGTAGCACTCGACCTTTCTGCAGTCAGAGACGGAACTAAAGAAGTAGATCATCAACTGACAAGTTGGAGGCCTCAATCGCCATCACAACTTCAAGCGTGACATAATAGCTTTCTGATGGAATGTCAATTTGTGCATGAGACGTGTCAAACATTTCTTTTTATTTTTCTCCCTCTCTTTACGATCGCCGAGTCATCTGATAAATAAACCTTCAGCAGGACGGCGTTTCTCAAAAAGCCATGGCCTCAAAGGATTCTGAGCAGGTGAACCTTGCCGATGCTCAGAAGCTGTGGAATGCATTGCAAGGTATTCCAGGTCTCGGCGATGGGGACGCATTCATCCATTTCCTGCGCATTTTGCACTTGGGGATGTTGGTTCGCCAGGCTCCTATTGAGCATGCAAAGAAGGGGCAAGTGAGCGATGTGTTGTGCTGTGGAATCACGGAACAAGGAACGAGAGTTGTGGGTGCTAACGTTCGTTTGAGGATGGACATGGCAGGCGGTAGGCCAAATCCAGTAAGCATCAAGGATGTGGAGAAGAGGCTGGGAGTTCAAGTCTCAGCTTTTGATGATGACACCCATTCCAGGCTCCACTTGGCACTTCTCGACGAGGATAAAGAGGCCAAGCCCAGTAAGGGCCGCGACTTCGAGAACTGTGCGGAGCATGTTGTGTTCGAGAAGCTGGCACGAGTGAATGAGTCGGCTGATACAACTTACGCCGTGCAGAAGCACCAGAAGAAGAAAGGCGAATCTAATGTCGTGTGCGTCAAACGATGTGTAAACTGTCTCAAAGCTGGAGGTGCAAGTAGTAGCAGTGGAGGACCTTTCGGAGAGACTCCACGTCTGGGAGCCATAGTGACGGACCATGACAGCATCGCTGGCTTAAGTGTTCCCATCAACACCATGCCCGTGATGGTGTTTATCAGGTGAATCTCCCGCTGTTTGTAAGCGTTCTATATATGCTTTTGTTTATACAGGTCTGTGTTTCGCGCTTTGAGGGAGAGTGAGCGTGCCCGTGTACTCCGGCTATTCCCGTACCTCCAAGTTTGGCACGACCTCAGCATGAGCCAGGCTACACCATGTGCAATCGATGGATCTGATGAACCTCCGCGCCCAAAACCAAAACACTAATTGCGTATATGGTGTGGTCTTAATTCCATAAGGAAACGTGTGAAATTAATAAGTATATAAGCTGTCCTAGATAAATTTCCTTGATTATCCAAAAAATCAAATCATCAAAACGAACCTGGAAATTTGGTTGCAGATAAAAATAATGGAAACTCTGTATGTGAATCGCTGCGGAGAATTCGACAATGCAGCATGTCAGGTGGCTACGCTCAGAGCAAGCAAGTTACGGAAAATGTAGACTGCAAATGCAATGCTGGCAGCATACATATGGCTGAAGCCAACCGAACCATGCTGGGCTCGTAACCTCTTCCTAGACCATTCTCATGCTATGCCCTGGCTGGGCATAAGCAGAAGGCTATATTAATCTTCCAAGGGAAGGGATGCTATGGTCTTTGTGCGCCTGTTGCAGCCGCCTGAGAAACCTTCCAAAGTATGACAGCCGACATCCACATTCAACCGAATTGGTTCTGCATGGTCGATCTGTTCGGTACAACACGACTTCTGTTTGTTCCCAAAGGATATCTATGCCTGGGAGACCCTACCCGCCTCCTGTACAAACATGCTGGCCCAGCACTAATATGTACGTGATGCTCGAGAAGCAGAAGCCAAATGTGCTCACTGCTGCTGCTGTAATATCTGTCTCAGTGCATTTGCAATACGAGGAACCGTTGCCGGACCCGGCTGCACCCATGCTCGTTTTTAACTGTGCCATTTGAAGCGGAAACGCCTTCTTTCCCAACCGGGCTAAGCAATCCGGTGGTTCTATCCGCAACAATCTCAGGTGTGCCGCCAGCTGCAGTACCCTGGAACAAGATCAGGAGAGAGATTTTATAGGGTATGTACATGGTTAAATGGGGAGCTGGAACACCATAGCCTCAATTGAGATTCTTCAGTATGGATTGACAATGCACCAGATGCTAGCTGTCACAGCTCTGTGGATCCGGCTGGCTCGAGAACGCCTTAAATAACAAGTCTTGGCCTTTGCCTCACGAACCGGTTCGAAATTGCTGCGAATATAGAGATGCCAAGCGACTCTCAGGCGTCTTGATCCTGAAGAAAATCGAAAGTCAAGTTACAAACATATGCAAACAATTGGATGAAATCGAACCTCAGCCCAGACGCTGCTGCATTCGGCTTTTCAAATAAACTGTATCTCTTTTAGTTCTGGCAAGGCCCAGACCAGCAGCCGGCTCTCCGGCTTCAAGCTATTGCTCCGCCCGCCCCAACGAATATCCGAATGAGAATGAGAAGCCTGCCATCCCTAGGGCTTAACGAGCAGACTTGTAAATCTCGAATATGGCGGATCCAGGTAGCTGCATTTGGCTTCGTGCTGCTGGAAGCGGCTGTGCTGTGTCCAATGCTGGGTGCCTTCGTGTCCTGCCCAAAGGGTCACCGTTTCAAGATCTGCGCTTCATGCGGGCAACAAAATAATCTCCCACGAGCTCACTCTACTGGTATGTGCTTCAATTATCTGCATTTCTCATCCGCAGACATGGACTTGAGTGTAAAGCTCCTCAGGATTCGTCTGATTGTAGGATCTTTGCTGCTCATGGAGCTTGCTGTGCTGGTGCAACTATGGGTGACCATCAAGCAACAAAAAGAGAAGCTGGAGCAATTCTGGTGAATGCTTCCAGCTTGCTTCCTTTGTTCTTCTTAAAAGAGCGTCCAGCATGGATGCAGAAGGAGCGGACCCAGCGATCAGTCAACTGACAAGTCTCAAGGATGATCTCAAATACAAACGAACATCCTGGTATTGAAATAGAAGACGATATGACTTGTTTCGTCTTGTTGCACTGTGTTGAAAGAGCACGCTGACTTGACGCTGTTTTCAGATCCAAACTTACGGCCCGATAGCACTAAATTCAGAGAGAGCTGGATGCTCGTGCAAAAGAAGAAGTGGAACTCTTCTACGTACGTTGGAACTCAGACGTTCTCATACCGGGTATGTCAGGATTGCTTCGCTTATCTTCTCTTTTCCGCTTGTTTTCTAAATCACGAGTCCGCTTAACAGCTCGGTTCCCAATCTCAACTTTGCCGAGGCTTCTGCAAGCCGCCAGCACGGCCCTCCACACCACGGCATCGCCCTCCACTGGAGAGCATACCACGAAACGTACCATCTCCTCGATCGCCCGAGAAGATCGGCCATGCACACGTAGTACTTCGCAGCGGGGGGGATCCCATAGTCGCTCCTCATCGACACAAAGCTGCAGTGAGCGTCCTAGAGCCCGGCGTGGCTACACGCCGAGAGGACGCTGACGAAGTTGATGGAGTTTGGCATGGTGCCGGATCCCATTTGCATCACTCCGAAGAGCGTGAGAGCTCACACCGCGTGGCCGTGGCGAGCGTAGGCTCCCACCATTGCACTCCAGGTTATCACGTCTTCTCTTCGCAGCTGGAAGAACATCGCGTACGCAGCGTCCAGGCTCCCGCATTTGCTGTAGAGATTGACCACTGCGTTGCCGAGTAGAACGTCCAGCTCCCTTCCCCTCTCGCGAATCCAGCCGTGGACTCGCTTGCCATCGTTCAAGGAGTAGATCTCCGTGCAGGCAATGATAGCGTTTACGGAAGTGTGCTTGTTCATCCGGAATCCTTCTAGCTGCATGTGTTTTAGCGAATCGAGTGCGATTTTTCCATGCTGGTTCTGTGCGTAGATCGTGATCAAGGCTTTCCACGACGTCGCATCCTTGTGAGAGATCTTGGCGAAGTGCATCAAGCAAGCTCCCACACTTTGCAAACATGTTGACGAGCGCGTTCCCCACGATCTTGTCAGAGGAGTCATAGCCGGACTCCACGGTGAATCTGTCCCCCCCCCCCCCCCCCCCGCCCCCCGCGCAGAAACGCCGGGGACGGGCACGCATTGAGCGCCGCCACGAGAGTTACGTTGTTCGGCCTCACGCTCTCTAGCTGCATGCGCCAAAGAAACACCATCGCCTCCAGTCCTTTTCCATTGCCTTGCTCCGCGAGAACTGCAATGATCGACGACCAGGCGACTGCGTCTGGACAATCCATGCTCTGGAAAACTCTCCTCGATTCATCTGCGCTGCCACACCTCCCATACATGGTTATCAGCGTGTTTCCTACAAATGGGGAGGCAGACCATGCAAACTTGTTCTTGCAGCTCATCCGCTAAAAAATCTCTCGCGCTTCTGCCACACTTTGCATACATATGAACGAGGCTCGTTCCGGTGGTGACGTCCGTCTCATGGAGACCATCCTCCGCAAGACAAGAGTGAATGAGTCTGCCGGTCTGCAGGAACATTGGGTCGCAGCAAGTCTTGAGGAGTGTAACGAATCCGATTTTTCCAATCTTGACACCCTCGAGCTGCATGACAAAGAGCATTTTCACTGCATCCGACTGATGCCCATTTTGGGCATATGCAGAAACAATGGCGTTCCAAGACACTGTGTCTCGGAAATACATTCTATCTAAGAAAGCTCTGGCTTGGTCGATTTGGCCGCATTTTCCATACATGTTGATAATCGCATTTGAGATGATCACATTCTTCTCCAGCCCACGATCCGCTATTATTTTGTGTACCACAATGCCCCCGCGAGAGCGCCGTGTGTGGAGCAAAGATTGAGCGCTGTCAAGAGGGCGGTTTGATCCGGGAGAATTCCCTGCTCCTCCATCTCGTCCAGCAGGCCAACAGCCCCTCCGATCGATCCACATGAGCCGTAAGCCGTGATGAGCGCGCTCCACGAGAGAGAGCTCCCCTTACTCGCGTCAAGGCTTTAGAACACAGCCTTGGCATCGTCCAAATGCCCGCACTTGCCATACATGTCGATGAGGTGACTCGCGAGACGCCCATCCCTTTCAAGGCGGCCCAGACGGGAGATATGGGCGTGGAGCTTCCTACCACCATCGACCAATCGCAGGGATGTGCAGGTGAGGAGGAGATGGATGAGCTCTTCCGGCTCCAGGCGATCTGGCAAAGATTAAGGGCATACGAAAACAAAGAAGAGAAAGAAAAGGAATGTAGAGAGTATCAATCCTAGTGCCTCTCGCATGCTAATTGAGCGCTCTAGTAGACTTGGTGGTGAGATTTTCTCTTTGTCCCGAAAGTTTTCTCCCTTTTGCGATTTGTTTCTAAAACTTTCTTTTGTTTGCAGGTGCCACCCTTTGTTTTTCTCATCGTTTTGATTAACAATGGGGTCTACCCTTAGGAAAGATGCCGGAAAAATAAAGTAAATAACTGTTTTATCATCTGTCTTATTGAGAAACTATCCCAGGAAACATAGACAATTATTCAATGGGCGAGTTTGACTCTACATTTGAAATAATAACTCAAATGATATAAGAAGGAAAAGAAAAACATAAAGAAAATGGCAATTTTTCTCCTCATTATCCTAGCAACATTCCAGGTAACTCAAGGCACCTCCATCACAGGCGCCAACACAACCCCAGAATCCCCAGGAGGCCAGCGCTTCAACTCTGTCATGGGAGTAGATGGAGCCCTCTCCATCCTCGCCGACGCCATGGCCTTCGTCCAGCTTGGCTTCGAGTATAGGAGCCCCGACACACCTAAGAAGGAGATTGACACCATCCACTTCACAGTGGACGACATGGCTGGGGTGGCCTACGCCATTGGTGTGGAGATCCATCTCAGCGCACAGTTTGTTGCTACTTTCACTGGAGACTTGGTTTTTGAGCTCCGAGGCGTCTTGTACCACGAGATGACTCACATTTGGCAGTGGTTCGGCAAGGACGGGAGCCGGGCGCCGCAGGGACTGATCGAGGGGATTGCCGACTTTATGAGGCTCAAGGCTAAGCTAGGTGTGTCGACCAATGGGTTTGTGGGGTCGGGGAGCCACTGGGACGAGGGGTATACCGTGACTGCACTGTTTCTAAACTATGTCAACGATCTCCATCCGAGCTTTGTGGCAGAGCTTAACAAGAAGCTCTATGACGGGTGGAGTGAAAACTACTTCCAGGATCTGACTGGAAAGAGTGTGGATCAGTTGTGGAGCGATTACAAACAGAAATTTCAATGATGAACTTTGTTTATAGATTTTGTCTGAAGAATGGAACCAAATTGTCATTATGAAATATACATCAATTAAGAGTCTTAGATAATGGTAAAATTAAATAGCCCTTTAGCTATTACAACCTAAATTTATAATTAAAGAGTTTATAAAGAGTAAATTATTATAATTGAATACTTTGGATTGCTTGAGCAAACCTGTAAGTTATAAATGTATTTATAATTATTGATCATTTAGATTATTCAATAATAGTAAACAGGAATGACACTATTATAACCAAACATTGCTACATGCAAAGTGCAGCAAATGATTTTTCTTATTAAAAATGCAAAATAATGAAAATTTCAAAGGTCTGTTTAATATTCAAGATAATATACTTTAAAACTAAAGCATTAGTGTTAGTAAATAGATTTTGTATTTGTCTTTGGGCAACTTGCCATGTGGCAATCTTCATTATAATTTTTTTCCTATGCTCTCTCTATTTTATAGTTAGTTAATTATTATTTACTTTTTGAGTTTCTAATTTTTCATGTAATTTATTATCATGAAGATTATTGTATACTGCTTCTAATCACTTTATCTACCAAAAGAAGTCTTACACTGTATTTAATTTCACCAAATTAAATAGTAAATATTTGCTAATGATTGTTACAATTTTTTACTTTTTGATCATATATATTAATATCCATTGCATACAAGAGAATCTCATGGTCTTTCTTTTGCATGATTATCTGTCTTATTGAGAAATTATTCCATAAAACATCAACCATCAATAGGCTGGTTTGACTTTGCATTTAAAATAATAACTCAAGTGAGTAATTGCTTAAAATATTTATGGCCTTATAGAAGTTTACTGTTCATTTCAGCAGCTAACATTTATTAACCAGTTAATCTCTTTCGAAGAGTGACACTATAAAACTTTGTTGTTCTAATGGACAAGATCAAGCTCACAATGGATGCAAACAAGCACACTCCAGCCATGACAAAGAAGGTTGTTCTGTAGCAATGTGGTCCATGGCAAAGGAGCTCATCACCATCCAGACTTCCATTGCTCGGTCCAAGCTTACTCTCGCGGTCGTATAAAACTCCTGCCACCCGGACGGACAAAACATAAGTTCCCAGCGCCTTAGCGACGTAAGTTACATTTTGGAGCGTCCCATAGAACCTGAGCCCGAAGATCTCCGCTATCATGGTGTAAAGAACCGACCACTGGCCACCGATTGACAACCCAATCAAAACCGAGCCGTAGAAGAGCGCTCCGGGAAGCCCAAGAGCGATTATCAAGCTCCCAAGCGACAGAAGCAAGAGAACCAGGCACAGGAAGAAGGGCCTTGCGACGCCATAGCTGGCGAGGCATATATCCGAGATGAAGCCAACGCCAACGCCACCGATGAAGTCCCAGATGCTAAGGAGGGCGATGAAAGTGTTTGTTCCGGCCTGGGAGTAGCCAAGGGACGTTCCAATCTGGCCGAAATTGTTGGTCACTGTTAGCACAGCGCCAATGCCACAGGTTGAAGCCACGAAGATGAGAAACATGTCGATGCTACAGAGCGCCTGGAAGATTGTGAAATCGTCTCCTCGCTTGACGGGCGATCCTTTAAAGAAGAAGATCGAAATGTGCGAGGCGATAGCTGGAGCAGCGGCGTCTGCCCCATGATCCGGAGGATCTACGTCTTGATAATCTGTTTGAGGAGTTTCTATCGCTGCGTTCTCCACTAGATCAACATCAACTTCTTCGCGATGGCGATGCCGGAGGGTTTTGGATTCCTGTCTCAGAACCACAAGAACTGGGATGGAGAGAATGATCAGCATAATGGAAAAGAAGGCCTTGATGATCCGAGATTCTAGGCGCACGAAGTGCTGGAGGATGATAATAGCCATGAGATATCCAGCCAGGATCAAAGTTACTGACACGAAGACGAAGAGCGTTCTCGAGTCATTGTAGCGGCCGTCGAGTGGGACGGATCGAATGAAAAACGCGAAGAGAAGGCACAAGAGCGATGGAAACCAGGCCAGCAAGAGAACGAATGAATCGTCACTGTGAGAGAAGAAGGCCTGGTAAAGCAGCGTGAATATCGCAACGCTCAATCCCTGCGTACTGTCGAGAAGACTAAGAACCATGCCCTGGTTCTTGGGGAAATTCTTGGCACAGGCCACAAGAACAGCGGTGGTGGTGAAGGCTGCCGATGCGCCGATCATAAAGAGATAGAAGCACAGTTCCCAGACATGGGGGTGTGCGATTCTCTGCGTTGTAGCCAGCCATATCGTGAAGTATCCAGCAAAGTTTAGCGCAAATCCAAGGAGGAGCACGACCCAGGGCCCGGTGAGATCATAGACGAGGCCGGAGAGAATCCCGACGCTGGTGCCAACGTCCTTAAATAAGCTTATGGTGTTGATATTTTTTTGGTTGTAGTCGAGGGACAGCTTGAGATGCTGCGAGAAGAGGCTGAAATTGTTGAGTGCTCCTCCCGTGGAGATCATGAGGAAGAAACTTGCCAATGCAACCATCCATTGACTGTTGTAGAGGTGTTTGATCGTCCCAACCATGATCCTAAGCTAAACTTTAGATTGAAATAAGAGTGGAGAGCATATATATTTAAAGTATGGAAGAAATTCAAATCGAAAGAGAACATATTCACAGTCTTTCTTAGTTTTTCTACCCGGCTCTTCCAGAAAGAAATTGTGTCCAAGCAGCGCACAACAAGGACTGAAGACCAGGAAGATCTGCAAGATGTAGCTCTAATTTTCAATCGCATCCATCGGTCTCATGCTTACAACTATCTATTTATGTTATTTCGGTAATCTCGTGACTGATGGATGTAGAAAATCGAAGCCGCGATGTCGGCTCCCTCCTTCGCTGCTGCTGCTGGCTTCGTCGCTTACTATCCAGAGTCTCGAAAAAGAAAAGACGTGATGTTTTAAGGAATTGAGGCGATGGCCACGTGGGCTGCCACCTAGAAAGAAGATCTTTCGCGGCCACCAACTTGGACTTTAACATCATGAAAAATCAACTATATAAACCCACCAATTCTATGCAACCTCGTTCATCTTGTTTCCTCCTAATTTTGTAGCTATGCCTTCCTTTGTTGCAAATGTCAATCAGCAGACTGATGTTCTTCCAAAGGGTGTCAAAGCTCTCATGGATAATGGCCTCGTTACCATTCCTGGCCGTTATATCAAACCTCCCAGCCACCGAGCTGTGAAGCATTTGATCGTTCCTGGAGTGGAGATCCCTGTGATTGACATGGCTGCATTGGAGAGTGACCAAGAGAAATTTGTTCAAACTTTGTGCAAGGCTTCGAGTGAATGGGGCATCTTTCAGGTATTTTGATGTGTACCTGCTCAAAAGGATCATTCATAATATGATGTCACATGCAGGTGATCAACCACGGGATTCCTGTTGCAACCATGCAAGGCATGGTCTATGGAGTGCTTGAGCTCTTTGATCTTCCTATTGAGGAGAAGATGAAGTATTATACGGAGGAGGTGTTTGTGCCCGTGCGGTACTGCACGAGTATGACACCTTCTCAAGAGACTCATATGGAGTGGCACGATCACTTCCAGCACTACTTTTCAAACACAGAAAAAGAGCATCCGTGGCCGGAAAAACCAGCCTGCTACAAGTAAATGAGCTTGACTAATCTGGATTTCATGAGATTGCTTGGTTTCTTGGATACTGCAGGAGGCTCGCTTCCAGCTATGTTTCAAGCGTGAGACATCTGAGTCAGACTCTGATGTCTGCTTTGTCTGAAGGACTCGGGCTGGATTCAAACTGCCTCGCGAAATCGTTTGGAGACTCGGAGATGATCTTGCGATCAAATTACTATCCGCCGTGCCCAAATCCCGACCTTGCTCTTGGGATGAATGGCCACACCGATAGTGGCGGTTTGACAATCCTGTTTGAAGATCAAGTTGGCGGACTCCAGGCCAGGAAGGGTGATCTCTGGTACGACTTGAAGCCTATAAAGAATGCATTCATTGTGAACATCGCTGATCAGCTTGAAGTAAGTGACTTGGATTGATTTTTATCATGGCTTTGTTCGTTTCCATGCCAGATTTTGAGCAATGGAAAATACAAGAGCATTGAGCACCGAGTCCTTGTCCAGCCTGATCAAACTCGTCTCTCCATCGTGGCATTTTGCAATCCATCACGGGATGCTGTGATAGGACCCCTGCCAGAACTTATTGATGAGCAAAACCCGCCACTCTACAAGTCAACCTTATACCAAGAGCACATCACAAATGTCTACACAAAATATTTGGATGGCAAGCATTCACAAAAGCTCCAAATAAACTAAACCAACGAGCTGTTAACTAAATAAAATAATACAAATAATAAATCTTCTATTTTATAAGAGAGAACGGTCTCCAAAGATCTCTACAAAGGCAGGATGCTCCACAGCTCCATTCTTGCTTTGCCGTTGCTAAGTTCATTTAGTGCTCATGTACGTGGAACTGCAGCAGGCCTGGAGATCTTCAATATCTACTAGCTTGAAAGATCTATCATGTTCCCAAACTCTCCAGGCCGAGACACCCCATTATCACATCGAAGACCCTTCAAGCATCCGTGAAGCTTTGCAATCACGGATCAGTGATGCATGGAAGAGGTCCTAGCTCTAGAGGCCCTGGAAGCGCCAAAGTGAAGCAAGTCCAAGAGTACATTGGTGGACAGGTCCACAGCCCGAGGCAACCCAGCTGCGAATCAACAGTCATGGACAGTGCACTAGTTGTCTATATGAATTGCTTGGCATCACTTGGCCACCTCATCTCACTGAATGTCAGCACCAATTCACTCTTTGGCACAATCCCTGGATCGCTGGGTGATATTCCAATGCTATGGAAGACCTTGAATCTTGATGCTCAACTAAATCTGCAAGATTATCAACAAAGAGATTCCAAAATCTTTGGAGAATCTCACAATCAAACTCATCTAAAACATTGGCCCACCGACCCTATTTCCCTCTCAGGTCGGGCTATGACAACAAGTGTTTCATTGCCATATTATTTGTGTAAATTTTGAAGTGTCTCCCAAAGTAATGTCACCACTCCTTGAGTGTTTTGATCACCGCAAACAATTTCTTCTCGTGGGTAAACCATTTTTGTTAAACTTTGTTCAACTTCTTTGAGAAGAACACTATTAGATGGTTATTTTGCTTCAAAACTGCGTTCAACACAAAGTCTGAAGTATCCATTTCTACCTCAAAATCTTTACCATAGTTTAGTAATGCCAACACGGGAGCCTTCCTCAACTTCTTTTAAGATGGATAAATGCCACCTCGCATTCTGTTATCCATACTATACTATCTTTTCTTTTCTTGTTTAGTCCGTTAAAGGTAGAGGTACTCTCAAATAGTGTTTGAAAACTTTCAGTAGTAATTACATAGTCCTAACAATGCCCTTAACTTGTGTACATTCAATAGTCATTCCCATTCCTAGATTGTTTGGACCTTTTCAGGGTCCACCTTGAGCCCATCTTTGCCTACCACATGCCCGAGAAATTTTACCTTTTGTTGAGCAAAGTTATATTTGCTCTTTTTAGTATACAGCTGGTGTTCCTTTAGTTTCTCAAACACCTTCGTCAAGTGTTCGACATGCTTTTCTAGCGTTTTGCTATAAATCAAGATATCCATCAATGTAGATGACCACAAAATGCTCTAAGTAAGGTACAAAAATATGGTTCATCAATGCTAAGAACATTGCTGGTGCATTGCACAGCCCAAAGGGCATCATTAGAAACTCAAAACTTCCATACCTTGCCTAATAGATTGTCTTCTTAATATCTTCCTCTTAGGTCAATCCTCGAGAAGTATTTCACCATGGCGAAACACCATGGCTTAACAGCCTGGTATGGGTACCTCTATTCCCCCATTTCCATCATAAAGGGAAGGCCCAAGTCCTTAAGGAGGGCAAGGACCAATAAACCACAAAGTACTCAAATGGGGCATCTCTCAACATGAGCCAAGAGCACTGCAGTCGGTTTCCTTTTAGGAAGTGGGAGTTACTTTTAAGCATTTCCTTGGGTGGCCCCTCAAGTCCATGCTCACTCCCACCCAAGGGCCCCTCAGCCTCAGTCTCAACCTCAAGTCAGTTTAAAAGCACCACTAAAGAGTTCCTTCAAAACTGGTTCCTGAACCTCACTATCCCTACTATACTTTTGGAACCCTCTGCAGCTCTGCCCCCCCTCGGGAGACATATGCTTTGGGCTTTCACCCCATATTAGTATTTGGAGTCAATCTCAGACTTGATCTCAGACTCAACCTTGGACTCAATCTCAGACCCGACCTCGGACTTTGTCTCGGACTCGAACTCGGATCTAACCTCAAACTTTGTCTCAGACTCAATCTTGGACTCGGTCTCGGACTTGATCTCGGACCTAATCTCGGATCTCGGACTCGGTCTCGAACTCAGTCTTAAACTCGGTCTTGGAGTCAGTCTCGAACTTGATCTCGGACTTGGCCCCGAACTCGGTCTTAGAGTTGGTCTTTGACTCGATCTTAGACTCAGTCTCATTTGATAAACTCTTTATTATTTTGGTCATGCTTTTAGGGATCTTTTAGCCTTTGACACCTCAAAGAGTTGGTTTTTTACAATCTTGTTTTCATGGGCTCTTATCTAGGGAGGATGACTTAGGCATATTGTTAAGTGGGGGGATGCCCCCAAACATGGTCAACAAGTCATAAAATTAAAAAGAGATGTTTGATATGAATATTGAACTTCTTTTATAGGTTGTGGAGTTATAAGGAACCAACTCCCCAAGGTGTTGTAAACTAAAGGATCCCTAAAACCACAATCGAAATGATAAAGAGTTCATAAAATGAGACTGAGTTCGAGATCAAGTTCAAGACCAAGTTCAAGACTGAGTCCAAGACCAAGTCCAAGACCGAGTTTGAAACCGAGTTTAAAACTGAGTCTAAGACCAAGTCTGAAACTGAGTCTGAGACTAAGTTCAAGATCAAGTTTTACATTGGGTCTGAAATTGAATCCGAAAGTAAATCTAAAGTCAAGTCCGAAATCAAGTCCAAAATTGAGTATAATAGGGATAGTGAGATTTAGGAATTAATCTTAAAGGAACACTCTAGTGGTGCTTCTAAACCAACTTAAGGTTGGGATTGGGGGTTAAGGGCTTTAGGTGGGAGTGAGCATGGACTTAGGTAATGCTAAAAAAACCACCCAAGGAAGTGCTTAAAAGCAATTCCCACTTTGGTGCTATGGAATGGTGCCCCACTTGAGTACTATGAAGTAGTAATTTCATAGAGATATAAAAAGCCCTAAATATGTACCACCACCCTTTTGTGCATTAGAGATGTTATTATTGGTGTTTTCCTTAAGCACACTCAATAATGTTAGTCCAACTCCAGGCTTTGCAAAAGATTTACCAGATCCTAAATTAGATCCACCAATTGCCATTTTCATGCATTCAATTCTTCAAGAAGATCCTGTAATAATATCAAGTTAAAAGATTAGCAAAAAATAAATTGCACCCTTAAAGCTAGTTTGCTCCCCACCTGCAAGAATTGTCATACAATTCCTCTACCAAGAAAGCACACATCAAAATCATCACTCAAATTATGTGGCACATAATATCTAACATGCTAGTTTGGCAATGCTTTATCAATTTCATGCTGATACAGCTTGGTCACTCTTTATTTGCCCTCACAACACGAAACAAGTGTGTGTGCATGATGTAGCCTTGTAACACACTACATGGGACCTCACTCGGGACATTCATAAAAACACAGAACTCACACAAAACAAATGTGAGTGTATTTCAACTCAAGATGCTCACAAATAACAAAACACTTCCTACTTTAAAGCACACTCCAAGAAATGCTGGTAAACACAGAATCCCCGAGTGAGGCTCAGCCATTGTTTCCCATTTTTATTTTCCAGTTCTGAGATTCTCAGGATCTTGAAATCCCCTACACGAACTATAACTGCGCCACTGTGCCACTTGTTTGATCATTTACGAGTTTGTCCAGTACAATCTCATTCATTTTTCTTTAGTAGAGTGTAAACTCTACAAAGCATGAGAAGAAATCTCAGGAATATGGAAAGATTTGTAGAGTAAGTGAAATTTAAAATGGAGGATGTGATCAACTTTCTTCGTTTGATATTATTTTTATAGTTTGGGCTCTTTGGAGCTTTCGAATCGATTCAACATCAATACCGCAAAAGTTGTGTGGGATCTGCCATTTCAATAAGTGGTGAGGTGAGAAAGCAGAGCCTGCTACAATTGATCACGCTTGCTCTGCTGATCCTCAAAGCCTCTATTACATACTCTGACGTTGAGATCTTTAGGTGAGCTTTTGAAATTCTTATTTAACTGCCGTGAACATGGGAATGCAATGTGGTGGGCAACAGCTGAGAGTTGCAAACCTACAACCGCAGCGCAGACTCGAATTGCTCCAGGATGATAAATGGCATAGAATTCAAAGGCGTGAGTTTTGATGAACAGGGTGTTTTCAAGACTACTAGATGGGCAACTATGTCAAGTTTACACATTGGGTGGAAGAGTTTGGAGAGCATGGTTTTGACTAGCTTAAAGCTTGAAGAGGCTGATACATTGTTATCACTTCTAGCTCCCTATTTGGAATATAACATTTAAGTTGAATGTGAGCTTTGTTGGTGGGAGAACAAGTAATTATATGATTTGCAGGCAGCTTATCACCGCATCTGCGATGAGACGCCGGAGCACTGCATCGCTTGTCTTGATAATGGTTTCACTGCCATTGAGCTCAATAGAAGCACTAGTTTGGAAGGTCACGGATATGACAGGAACTTTGGATCCATCGGGTTGCTCCGCAAAGCTCTGCTGGATGTCCACCAGGCCTTTCTCCCTCAGAGCTCTCAACAGAGCGTCCACGTCGGGTGTGCCACAGAATCTTTGGGGCGCTTGTATCATTCTCGACACTCTCGGCATTTCCAGGTAGAAGTTCCCGTCGTGGAAGTGCATCTCTGCAGAGAGCCGAGCCAAGGCTGCATTGTTTCCGCTTCGAGTTTGCTTGGGCTTGATCCGGCTGGCTAAATCCGCTGATAGTTCCATGTTGAGCTCTTCCTCCAAGCTCGGGATCTTTAGTGGAGCTCTGTGCACGTAGAACAATATTTTTGTGTCACAATCCGACGTCACCACGGATTTCAAGCGTTCTGGCACCTGGAGCAAAGAATGTAAAAGAAGGAACAATGTCATCAATCTAATCTACTCACCACTGCAAATTTGGGTTGCAAGCGATCTATCAAGGAGGACAAAGCTCCTCGTGACCTGCAAAGATCTGCCGTTAAGCGAAGACAATGGTTTTGTTTTGTAATTTATTTACCTCGCGCTAGTGGCTAGGGGAAAATGTTTTACTTGTATGGACAATGGCTTGAATGGGAGTAAAAACCTCTCTACATCAATATCTGGCTGAAAGAACAAACCAGAGATTAGTACAAAGTGAAAGAGCTCTACCAGTTATATTTTTATTCCTTACTTCTGTCAGTATGAGCAAGTTACTCGAATGCTGGCGCCAACGATTTAGTATATGTACAGACGGTCCCATTCGAAGGCTTACATGGGAAGCCAGTATCACGCAGGGACCAGACTCCCTACAAAGAATTTCTAAGTTTGACAGACGAACACAACGAAAGACTTACACAACTTCTGGCGACAGGCTTGGAAAGTAAGAGAGCTTTCCCTCCTTTAGAAGCTCGACGTGTCCAAACAATGACTCCCCGTTATATAGCTGAAGGAGATGAATAGATGAGAGTTCACTGTAAGGAGCATCAATACCTTCTCTTGCCGTGCCGATGAGAGCCACTCCGGAACAGTGTTGGTAAAAGCCAGGAATTCCTGAGCACTCGGCGATACGTATAAAATCCTTCCCGAGCTGTCACACGCTTGTCAAAACAAACTGAAACAAAACCAAGATATGCTTACACTTTTGCACAAGAAACTTCTTGAGAGATCGTCTCGATGAGCTCGAGGACTGTGTCTGAAACACTGGTGGGTATCAACACCGAGCCTCCCTTGCTTAAAGCATCTGCGGCAGCGTTTGCGACTTGCGCTAGCAAGGATCTCTGCTGAGGCTCCCGTTTCTCACTGAGTACGCTGTTGGCCATCCGTGGCTTGGCGTTGTGCGAAGTGATGAATTCCACACGAGCATTTACCCATGGCCGAGTCGTAAGTCTACTGCGGGGTTCAGCTTCAGTATCCATCTCGAGTTTCTCCACAGAAGAAGTTGGCTGCTTGGCCGAAACAAGGAGAACTTGGCTTCCATCTAAAGAAGTCAAATCCTGGCTCGCACAACTAGCTGCGGCCGCTGCTACATCGCAAGACGAAACGTATGTCACGCTCGAGCAAGGTCCTTTAATCACCCAGTTCGAAGCACCAATGCCTTGGCCGGAGCTATAAGGTGTCAAGACCACACACCCATCAATGGGGGCCTCTTCACCATAACGAAGAGTTTGGATTCTTTCCATGCAGCCAAGCACGTCTTCTGCACTGCACAGAAAGAGCGTTTTAAATCTGGGAGGAAAGAAAACCAATGCAAAGGTGGTCACCTGTAAAGCTTGTGCCAGTTTAAGATGCCTGAGTTGTGCTCCCCGAGAAGACAATCTTTGAGAGCCTCCGGAACTTCACACTGCGTGAACTCCGGATGGTTCTCAAGAGAGCTTGCTCCATAGAGTTTTAGAAAGTCGCGGTGGGAAGAAACAAGCTCTTGCATCAAAAGCTTCCCAACAGTTGCTGTTGGATACGTTGCAAAGATCTGGGAAGAAGAAAGAAAGGAGGAACTGTAAGAAACCAAACCAGAACGACGAACCTTTGCGGTGAAATCTGGATTGCGAGTGAGAAATGGTAGAGCGAGCATGGATTCTGGTCTCGAGATCACCACCGCATTGATCAGAGCCACATCCAAAACGCTCAAGTCGGCACTTTGGTACCATGGCTCGGCATCAATCACCACACCGTCGCCGGCTCTCCTGAAAGGAGCCTTGACGACCAGCTCACTTGAGTCCCCTTTCTTCGGCTTCTTGCGCCTGGCATTCTCCGAGAGCGCCTCCTCTGTCGGGAGAAAGAGCGAAAGACTGGACAAATCGAGAGGGCACTCGAGGAGAAGCTGCAAATCGCAAATCTCCAGCAGATTGCTGTCGACGGCGGCACCACTGGATGGCCTCTGGAGCGAAATCTACAGAGAAGAAAGACATCTCGATCCACTGAGCTCTAGACAACGATCCATCGCTTACCAGGCGCATTCCCGACAATAAACCCTAAAATGTCCGAATATTCTATATACCCGAATATTTTATGGAATATTCTTTCGTTACCGCAAAAACAGGGTTTTGAAGAAACTCAAGAACAAGCTCCTGTTGTTCGCAAGCTGGAACAACCTTGGATACATTTCATGAGGGATGAGAAGATTGCAGGGTAGGCCTGAGTGTGTATGGGTAAAGGGTGCTGCTAGCAAAAACACTTCAAAGCATTTAGAAAAGTATGTTTGATTGTGTACAGCTTATGTGATCAGCGGCGAGGCTTAGATATGTGGTTGATGATCCAATTGATTTGCTGCAGGCGTTGCTTCCAGTCTACAAAAACCACCAAATGGATTGTACCGAAGAAACCCAGAAGAGCGCCAAGCAAGAAGCCTTTCGTGGACACATTCTCGGAGAGCCAAGACGTCTCACGGCCAGCTTGAGTAGAAGTAGAAGTGTTGGAACAGGGTTGCAACGGATAAAATCCTCCACAAAGATTGTTTCCCTCGAAAGAACTGGGGCCGAACTTGGTGTAGAAGAGCTCTGATGCCAAAACCATTCCACTGAGATGGTTGTGGGAAACGTTGAAACTCCCAAGCTGGCTCAAGTCACTGATCTGGGCCGGGATGGTTCCCTGGAGCTTGTTGCTCGACAAGTCGAGAGACTCGAGCTTGACGAGCCTGGTCAATGCCAGGGGGATACTGCCAGTCAGCCCATTGAACGAAAGGTTCAAGTACTTCATACCCACAAGTAGACCAATATCGTCCGGGATCGCGCCCTCAAGCAAGTTTGACGACAAGTCAAACAGGGTCAAACCGTTGAAATACTGGGCGAAAGGAAGCCTCGAGCCCTTGATGATCATCTCAAACCGCATGCCGCCGGGGCATTCTGGGCATGCCAGGCCAGGGATGTTGTGCCATCCTTCGGGATCGTCAGGTCTGGAATTCACGTCCTTGAAGGAGATCAACTCACCTATGCTACCGGGGATGTTGCCAGTCAGCCGGTTCTGGGACAGGTCAACAACCTTGAGCTGCGGGAGGCTGGACCAAATGCAGCTGGGAATGAACCCGTGGATCTGATTGTACGAGAATGACAACAGAGTCAATGCAGTCCACCTGCAGATCGATTCTGGAATCGTCATGGAGAACCTGTTATCCCGGAAGTTGGCAATCCTGATGTTGCTGGTGTTGGAACTGAGGACTAGATCTCCTTCGAACTCGTTATGGGAAAGATCCAAGTGAACCAGACTATGGATCTGGCTGAAATCCATGTCTATTTTTCCAAGCTGGTTCCTTGCCACCATGAGAATGGAGAGGCTGGAGCAATTGCCTAGAGAGGCAGGAAGGCTGCCAACCAGACGATTTTGTGACAAGTCCAAATAGTAGAGCTGTGAAGCATTGGCGCCCAGGCTAGAAGGTATCTCTCCTGAGATCTGGTTTCCCGAGAGATCCAGCGTCCACAGCGAGCTTGAGTTTCCAAGGCAAGATGGAATGCTCCCCGTGAGTGAGTTGAAGGACAAATCAAGCTTGCTAATGCCCGCCAGGTTGCAAGCTCGTGGGAGAGAGCCCCAGAGGTTATTTCTCGCTAAGTCCAAAGTGCCAAGGTTCGCCATGTTGAAATATTCCACCGGTATGGTCCCCACCAACTTGTTGGTCGAAATAAGAAAGTAACTAAGCTGCTCAAGCTTGGAAATTTCGGGAAGAAGCTGGCCAGTGAAGTTGTTCACACCCATGTCAATGCGGCTCATGTTGACGCACAATGACAAGGAAACAGGGATTTCCCCATGCAGCGTGTTGAATGCCACGTCAAAGTTTGTCAAAGTGCTCAAATTTCGGCCTAGTTCTGATGGAATTACTCCGGTGAGCCTGTTCCTCGAAAGATCCAGCTTTGTGACCTGTGAGCAGTGTAGCACAGATTCGGGGATCTCTCCTGTTAAGGTGTTGGTGCTCAGATTAATGGTTTCCAGGACACAGTGGTCTCCAAATTCTGGGATGCCACCTGTGAGATTGTTGTTCCGGAGGGAGATGAACTTCAGACCTGGCAAGTAGCTGAAGAATTGCGATGGAATGCTGCCTGTTATCTGATTGTAGCCTAGTTCCAAAACTTCCATGCGACCCTGGTTGTTCTCGGGAGAAATCTCCTGAAACTCAGAGCTAAATGATTCCAAGTTGTTCGCATGCAAGTGCAAACCAACAAGAGTCTTGCTCACCAGGAGAAACGTAGGAATTTCTCCTTCGAGGTCATTCCCTTCAAGGTTCAGCTCTTCCAAACTAGAGAGATTTGCAAAGCCCCTTGGTATGGAACCATTGAGAGAGTTGTGACTGAGATCCAGGAGCGTGAGATTGCGAAGCTGTCCCAAGAAGCTTGGAAGCTGTCCACTGAGACGATTGCAACAGCAGGAAAGCTTCTGAAGCCTTGAGCACCGCGCTAGGCTCGAGGGAATCTCACCACCAAGTAAGTTCGCATCAAGAATTAGGCTTTGCAGCATGGAGAGCTGGCCCAGGGACTCCGGGATCTTTCCGTTTAGATTGTTGAGCGTGAGATCAAGGGACTGTAGCCTGGCGCAGTTACCCAAGGTCGATGGAATCTCCCCGGACAAATAGTTGTACGACAGATTGAGCAGCTCCAGAAACTCGAGGGAACCGAGAGAGGATGATATTTGCCCCGTCAAAGGAATATTGGAAAGAGCAAGGGATACCACCCGGCCTTGTGGATTGCAAGCTATTCCTGTCCAGTTACACAAGCTTGTGCTACTCACGTCCCAATTCGCTAGAGGGTCTGGAAGCACATCCAAGATCCATGGTGGAGAAAATGCCTTGACACCTCGCTTGAATTCGAGAAGAGCACTGGCCTCGAGAATAGATGACTGAGATGATTGAGAATGACCACCCTGGAACACAGTTAAGAGGAGGCACAAACAATAGAGAGGCGCCGCCATTCTTGTAAAGCGCTAGAACTCTAGTTAGAAACAATGAGAACCTAGTCGCTGTGTTGACTAAGTAGAGAGAAACGCATGTCGTTACAGACTTCATTTTCTCCCTTGTATCACTGTTATCAATCAATTCATGTCCTTTCCAAAAGACTGACTTTGACAGACTTGCTGTTTGGATCAGTTTCTACTATTATCAACGCGCTTTGGACATAGTCTTCGAATCGATTCAGCATCAATAGCACTGTTCACTACAAACAACATTGTTTTAGGATCTGCCCCATTTCGACGGGTGAGAAGGTTTTGCAGTATGAGAAATCAGCGCCTGCTACAATTGATCACACTAGCTCTTCTCATCCTCCCAAACTCAAGTATATAATTCCTCTATTGCTTGCTCTCATGTTGAATCTCCAGGCGAGGACGATTGGAGCATTCCGCTTTTCAAATTCCTATACAACTGCCGTGAACATGGGAATGCGATTGTGTGGAGGGCGGGCAACAGCTGGGAGGTGCAAACTTACAACCGCAGCGCAGCCTCGAATTGCTCCAGGATGATAAACGGCGTGGAATTCATAGCCATGAGCTTTGATGGAGAGGGTGTTTTCAAGACCACAGGATGGTATGGGTACCAAAACTGGGTTATGATGGGTCATTTTAACAAAGTGGGCAATTATGTCCAGTTTGCATAATTATTAGAAAATTATCTGATATCTGATTAACAAAGTTATTTATCTATTCGGTCAATGAAAAAGTTGACTTTTAAAAGCCTTTTGGTCAAGCACCCTAATTTTGTGAGAAATGCCTAGGGTTCATGCAGAGTCTCTGTTTGCCTTGGCGCCGGGATTCTTCGATGGCGCTCGGATCTACGCCTTCAGCGTGGATTGTGACGCGGATGGAAGTGGCCAAGGCGCATTGCGGCCGGATGGAGCTGAGGAGCGCGCTGTGGAACTGGGCGAGGCTGCCGCCGGGGATGAGGATCTGGAGGATTCAAGGCTGAGCAAGTGGACGTGTGGAGCCTGTGGTATGAAGTTTCAGAACGGGGAGGATCAAAGGGGCCATTTCAAATCCGATTTCCATCGCTTGAATGTAAGTAGTCTCTCTTGTTTGGTTTGTGTAGTTCTTAGAGTTTTTTCTTGCTTTGTTCAAGGAGCTTTTTTACTTTTAGGTGAAGCGAAAGATTGCTGGGAAGGCTTGTTTCACTGAAGAGGAGTTTGAGAGATTCGCTGGCGGAGACATTGCGGGTGACACTGATGTTTCCAGCGTATCCGGCTCGGAGAGCGATGTGGAAGACGAAGAGAAACACAGCAGTAAGAATGTGGCTGGCAAAGTAATCATTCCTTTGCTGCTTGGCTCTGGCTCGATCGTCGAGGTCTGGAGCTGCCTGGTTTTGAATAGCGGCGAGAAACTGGAGAAGCAGAAAGACGATCAACAAGAAGCTGGAGTGGTCACGGAAACGGTGTTCCTCTCACGATTAAAATCTCTTGTTTCTTCGCCCAAGCTCGTTTGGGTCGTACTGCTCGCAGTCGGGGGTCACTTTGCTGGCGTGGTGGTGGACATAAAGACTGGCGTGGTTCAAGCACATCAGACTTATCACAGGTTTGCTTTCGTTTTTGTTGGTTTTCTGGACGTGTTTCATGGATTTTCTGTTTTTCCTTGTAGATACGTGGTGCGGGCAAAGGCTGGTGGCAAACAGGCTAATCGAGATGCTACTGGTAGAGCTCCCAAATCCGCTGGGGCTTCTCTCAGGCGCTACAACGAAATGGCTTTGCAGAAGGTGGGCATGACTTTGTGATAATGTTCCAATTTCTTAGATGCGTTTGTTTTAGGAAATCAAAACATTGCTCGAGTCCTGGAGAGACTACTTGCAAGAAGCTAGCTGCATTTTCGTGTTCGCTCCATCACGGAATAGCCAGTCGATCGTTGGAGACAAACCTCTACTAAGCCGGGAGGACAGTCGACTTCGATCCATTCCATTTCCAACCAGGAGGCCAACGTACAAAGAAGCGAGACGAGTATATGGACGCCTCTCCTCTTTACAGTACAAGGAGAAGGAAGAAGTTTTAAGTGTTCCCGACGAAGCACCGCCACCTTCTACTGAGAAAAGCGAGAAAAAAGTCACGGTTCAACACGAAAGGAGCAACACAGACTTGGATGCGGCTGCCGAGGAAAACGCCGCCGCTCAGGTGCCGCCGCCGCCATTGCACGAGGCTGTAGTGGCTGGAAACGCGGCTCTAGTGATGGATCTCCTGGAGAGCGGCGCGGATCCTTGTGTTAAGCATCGGGGACGAACAGCTTATGCGGCTGCAAGCCACAAGGAAACCAGGAACGCGTTTCGAAAGTTCATGGCCTCTCACTTGGACATGTGGGATTGGAATGCTGCCAACGTGCCAAGTCCATTGACAGACGAGATGGAAGCAGCCCAAGCTGCGAAACAGGTGAAAAAACTAAACAATTCCTCCGGTTCTCCCTGCTCAGATCTATGGTTTTTGCAGGCTGAGAAGACTGCGAAACGCAGGGCTAAGGAAAAGGAACGCAAACTTGAAAGAAAAGCACAACAAAAAGCAGCCGCGGCAGCAGAGGTACTCGTTCTCTAAATGCAATGTTACATGTAGATGCCCGAAACAAATCACATCTTGCACAGGTCTCGAAGAAACCAGGGACGAGTGCCCCTAAGGAAGTTCCAACACAAGAGGTATAAAACAGAAAGGAATTGCCCTGGACTAACTTTGCGTTGATGATCAATCAGGCGATGAATGCGACGCAAAGAGAGTTGCGAGCTGCTGCTGCCGAATCGAGGATGAAGGCTTCGATGACAAGCGCCGGATCGTCGGAGTTGTGCTCGTGCTGTGCGAGCTCTCTCGCAAACAAGGTACCATTCTACAAGTTTGAGTTTAAGTACTGCAGTGTTGCTTGCGTCAATGCTCACCGCCGAATCCTCGAAGATGAATGAATTAAAAAAAGCTCTCGAGCTTTAAACTTTCCCGCCAATTTTTGGGATTTTAGGTCCCGGGAGATTCTTCTTAGGGTTTATGGGTTCCCGGGAGAATGCGAGGAGGGCTGCGGGAGCGGCCGGGCAGGCATCAGCTCGATCTGCGGCATTGGAGCAGCTCAAGAGGCTGCGCGAGGGAGGAGGGCGCCGCGTCGACACTTTCGAGCTCAAGGTAGAGGAGCAGATCTTCGATAGGCTAGACGAGAAGGATTACGCGCTGCTGGTGGCCAAGCGGCGGCTCGAGTCTCAGGATTTTGTGGTGGATGACGATGGTCTCGGCTATGCTGATATTGGCGAGGAGGAGAATTGGGATGTTGGGGCAATGCCGGAATCTTCTGACGAGGAGGACGGTGCTGCCAAAAAGAAAAAGATTGCTGGTAAGAGTCTTGTTCTTTTCCCTCTTTCAGATGAAGGAATTGTGGTGTTGTGTTGTAGATCCGAAGAAGAAGAGAGATGTGCCCAGTAGAAAGGAGAGGGAGCTCATGGCAGCAGCTTCGCTCATGGGGAAGCAGAGTGTCTCCAGTATGTTTGCTGCTGCTGGGTCGGGAATGAGCGTCAAATCCTCCAAAGCTAGAGACTTCGATGGAGCGGACCAGGTGCTGGATGACGTTCTCGCTGCTGTAGGCGCGGACAGTGTTCATCGGGAGAGGAAGAAGAAGCACCGACAAACATCGGAGGCAAAGGAAGACAGTCACTTTTCCAGGGAAATGCCATCTCTTATGGCTGATATGGAAATAGCTGCCAAGGTGGAGGAGGACTCACTTCCACCACCACCTTCTACATCAGAGAAGCAGGCAGAAGACTCTGCGGTTTCCACTTCTCTTGTAGCTGATGCGGAAGTAAAAATCAAGGTGGAGGAGCCAAGTCGAGAGCTTCCACCACTGCCGTTCAACGCGGATCATAGCACGAGTGAAAATGAACGAATCAAAGCGGCTGAAGATTCTTTTGGCCTAGGAGAAATGTCAGCCCTCCCGGCTGACGAGATGGGAAACCTTTCATTTTTCTTCCTTGATGCCTACGAGGAGGCGTTCGGTGCAAACTCCGGGACTGTTTTCCTCTTTGGAAAGGTACGTAGTTCAGCTATAAACTTACGTCTCAGGATTGGTTGCGATGCAGGTTCAAAGAGGTGGAAAATATGTCAGCTGTTGTGTTGCCGTGAGAAATATCCAGCGGTGTGTTTTTGCAGTTCCTGGTCCGTCGGTATTTCCAGACGGCCTCGTCAACACTCTGGAACAAGAAGCAACATCATCCGAACTGAAGTTGAAGCTTCAGGTGGGACCTTGAATTTTAGACATTGTTCCTGCTCTGACAATGCAGATTCCAGGAAATGGCTAGAGAAATGAAAATGGAGCTCTCAGAAAAGTTGATGGAGCTCAACGTTTCGAAGTTTAGCATGATACCTGTGAAGGTATAACATAGTTCAGTATCTTCAAATCACAAATATTTTCTTTTCTCCAGAGGTCATATGCCTTCGACAGAATGGATGTGCGATCAGGCGCTCATTATTATTTAAAATTAAGTTATCCCTTCAAGGTTTGCTTTCCATTTAGTTTTAATTAGTTAGTTTCGTATCCCGTAGGATCCGACGCTTCCGGGTGATCTGAGAGGAGCGCACTTCACCAGCTTATTCGGAACACGGACAAGGTGAAGGCATGCTTTAATTATGAGTACTGTTAGTTTTGACAGTTTCTTTCAATATTGCATAGTGCGCTGGAAACTTTTCTCATTAAAAGAAGAATCAAGGGACCTTGTTGGCTGTCCATCTCGAACCCGCACCAAATACCATGCTCTTCTCAGGTTGGTAATGACGAAAGATAGATTATCTTGACACTATCCTGTTGTTTCAGATCAGCTGGTGCAAAGTGGAGGTTTCCGTGGATTCTCCGAAAGACGTAGCTAATATATCAACTTTGAAACCTGCGTTTGAGATCCCGAGGCTGATTGTTGCTAGCATCAGTCTGAAGACGGTAGTCAATCAGAAACAAAATCTAAATGAGATTGTCTCTGCATCGGTAGTGTTTTGCGAGCGCGTAAAGGTATACTTGTCACATTTGATTTTGTGATGAACTTGTGACATGGTTTTTCTGCAGGTAGATGCACCCATGCCGCAGTCCGAGTGGAACAAGCAAGAGATGCTAGAACATTTTAGCATCGTCCGCAAGCTCGATGGCGGAGTATATCCGATGGGATTTTCTTCTGAGGTATCACTCATCAATAACAAGAGCGGGTGCAGCGTTTTGAGCTGTGAGGGGAGGTAAGCTTGGCAACGTGAGCCACTTATCCTGATTTCTTTGTTTCCTGCAGTGAGCGTGCCCTATTGAATTGTCTGATGATCAAGCTTCATCAACTAGACCCTGACGTGCTAGTTGGACATAACATTTCGGGGTTTGATCTCGACGTCCTCCTGCATCGCTTGCAAGTACGAAAGCTATGCGATTACGACATTTGCTCATTGATGTGTATCAGGCGTGCAAAGTTCCAAGCAACGTGTGGTCTCGAGTCGGGCGGCTGAAAAGGTCTCAGATGCCTAGGCTGGTTGGTGGTGGAAATAATTTTGGAGGAGGAGCGGGTCCAGGAGTAATGTCGTGTGTTGCCGGCCGGTTACTATGTGACACATATCTTTCTTCTAGAGAGCTTGTGAAGGAAGTAAGCTTTTGTGACATAATTTCTATCATACTGAGCATTTGAATTGTGCAGGTGAGCTATACTTTAACGCAATTGTCGAAATCTCAGCTGGGAAAAGAAAGAAAAGAAATCTCCCCATCAGAGATTCCAAACATGTTCCAAACGTCGTCCACCCTGTTTGAACTGGTATGAGTTTCTCTTTCGCAGTGGTTTTGCGTTTACGGTATATATTTACAGATTCAATCTGGTGAAACCGACGCTTGGTTGTCGTTGAGTTTGATGTTTCACCTTAGTGTTTTACCGCTTACACGGCAACTCACTAACATTAGCGGTAATTTGTGGAGTAAAACCTTACAAGTAAGTTACAGATGCCAACTGCCATTCTTATCTCATGTTATGAACAACAGGGTGCAAGGGCACAAAGAGTTGAATATCTGCTCTTGCATGAGTTTTATGGACGTAAATATATTGTTCCTGACAAAGTATCTGCTAGTGAAAAAGAGAAAGACAACGAGAAAAAGAGGAAAAAAGCACAACAAGATGAAGACTTTGAGCCGGATTCTGCAGTCGAGGCAAAGAACAAGAAAGCTCCGGCTTACACTGGCGGCTTGGTTCTCGAACCGAAAAAGGGGCTTTACGACAAGTATATTTTGCTTCTGGATTTCAATAGTCTTTATCCATCTATAATCCAGGTATTTTGTCGTTAGTATTCAAAAGCTCACGGTTTCGTTTTCTTTTTCATGAAATGCCGTAGGAATACAATATATGTTTTACTACTGTTGAGCGGTCCTCAGATGGTTCAATATCCTCTTTGCCAAATGCGGATGCACCTGGTGTACTCCCGCAGGTACGCCGGTATGCTTGTACAGGGGACTCCTCTCATCTGCTGTCTTTGTCAGGTCTTGAAAGCATTGGTTGATCGCAGGAAACAGGTGAAGCAATGGCTTAAGAAAACAACGGATGTCTTGAAATACCAGCAGATGGACATACAGCAGCAAGCTCTTAAACTTACTGCTAACAGGTATGGATCTTAGCTTCTGTACAAGATTCTCAAATGCAGAAGCAATCAGTATGTACGGTTGTTTGGGATTTCCCAACTCGAGGTTTTATGCCAAGTTCATTGCCGAATTGATAACTTCACAGGTATTTTATTCTTTCTGAAAGAACTTGTTCTTATGCATACTGTGATAGGGACGCGAAATACTTCAAAGTACAGTGGATCTTGTCCAAAACGTCTTGAATTTAGAGGTACTAAATGTTTTATCTACTTAAGATATTACAGTTATCTCTGTGACCAGGTGATCTATGGGGATACTGATTCAATAATGATCAATACGGGGCTGGACGATCTTTTAAAGGCCAAAAGCATTGCCGCGCAAGTTATTAAGGAGGTAAGATTTGATTAGATTATCTTGAATTTGACTCTTCGAAGTTCAGGTTAACAAAAAGTACAAACTACTGGAAATCGACTTAGATGGCGTTTTCAAAAGAATGCTTCTACTTAAAAAGAAGAAGTATGCCTGCGTGAAAGTTGAAACCAGTGCTGACGGAAAACTTCGAGAGGTAAGCAAGTTTTTCTTTGATTGTGAGCTCTAGGAAGTTGCGGTGCAGGTAATAGAGCAAAGAGGACTGGATATAGTTCGAAGAGACTGGAGCCTTCTATCGAAAGATGTGGGAAACTTTATTCTCGAGCAGATTTTATCGGAAGGGTAAGTTTCTTTTTCTTTAACAAAAATTCATATCGCGACGAATTTTACAGTTCACGGGAGGATGTTGTTGACGCTATCCACGATAAATTAAGAAAGGTGCGTTCTTGTTTGTTTTTCTTTTTTCTAATTAGTTTTTCTTCTCATAGTTGCAAGATGATATGAGAAATGGCAGAATTGAACTTGAAAAGTATGTCATCACAAAGAGCTTAAGCAAACGACCAGAGGACTACCCTGACAGTAAAAACCAGCCTCATGTTCAGGTTGGCATCTCTTAAATCTCTCTCTTTTCTTTTGTCCTATGGAAATTGTATTTTTCAGGTTGCTCTAAGACGAAAACAGGAAGGCCATAAATGTTTCCCTGGAGATACTATTCCATATGTCATATGTTGTCAAGAGGTACGAAATCTATTTTTCTCAATACATCAACATAAATAGAACTGCAGGGTGTGCTTGGTGTTCCACTGGCTGAGAGGGCAAGGCATCCAGACGAGTTAAAAGCTGGAGGTGGTGGATGCATTATCGACGTAGACTACTATTTATCTCAACAGGTTCGCTAGTTCGTTAATATTTTTCTACTATCGAAAACTGGCAATTTCTAGATTCATCCCGTAGTCTCAAGACTATGTACACCCATTGAAGGTACCGATCCAAGTCACATTGCCGATTGTCTGGGTCTGGATCCATCCAAGGTCATATTCTACGCGTCTTTTCTCTTTAGGTGCTCACATTTCTCACGCTGACAGTTTCAACAACGCTCAGTGTCAACCACACTTGATAAAGAAGATGCGCTTGTGGCCACATCTGTTCTTGATGATGAGGACAGGTAGTGTTTTTTGTTATGCTGTGGAAGATCTCACTTCGATCTGACAGATATAACCGGTGCGAGGCTTTGGAACTGTTGTGTTCGAGTTGTGCTGCTAGATATCCATTTCCTGGAGTAAGTCACGTTCTTACTTTGGTTGGAGAGGATCAATCGGAGGACGAGAATGCCGGCACTCAGTCTCTTCTCAGTAAGCTTCTAGTGTGTCCTCATTGTTCCGTTGGACAATCTCAAAACGTTACTGCTCCAAAGCTCACCAATCTGGTACTTCTTTCATTTTTTGTACTTCCGATGAGCCTTTATCGATTGTTTCTCCTCAGGTCCTGGACCGCGCAGCAGAGTTTATTCAACGGTACTATGATTGTTGGATGGTGGTACGTATGCTCCTTGAACTGAAAGAGCGCAACTGACATTTTCTTTATCTTTATTTCTCAAGTGCGACGATGAGATGTGCAACCACACGTCGAGGGACACGATCTTGAGAATAGTAGGGGATGCCGAGCGAGGTGCAGTGTGCCCAAACTTTCCAAGATGCAATGGTCGTCTTGTCCGCCAGGTTAGCATCCCAGCACCTTTTCATGCTTCATTTTCTCTTAACGCTGCACGTGAAGCAGTACTCGCAAGTGGACTTGTACAATCAGCTCACGCATTTCTTCCGCTTGTTGGATGTCAACCGCGTCCTTCAGAAGGTAGTTTAGCATGGTTCCAAGCCTCTTCTAACGACGACTTTTCCAGCAGATCCCAGAAAGAAACTTGAAGGCCGCTGTAGCCGTGAACAACCTGAGGCCTCTGGTCGATCTTCCAGCCCAAGAGATCAAAAACATCCGCGACAGGTGCGCTTACCGCTGGGTTCAAATGAGCTCCTTGTGCGTCTCTGTGTAAAGCCGAAGAAGTCTCAAATCCTTTAAGACATTACACACTTTTGTACGCATTTGCAAGGAGCACGAAGGACGCTCCTTCCTCAAACTCAGATGGAGGTTTCAGATATCCAAGGTTGGCACTCTGATTCCTACAATTCGCTAACAAGCACCTCGAATCTGATGCATCAGGCACAAACGGCATGCTATCGACCAAGTCTTGTACATCGTCGAGACGTCCAGCCCGGCTGAGCACGTCCACCATGCAACTGTAGTGCTGCTTACAAGGCTGGAGCTCGAAATCCACAACCATGGACCTGAAAACGCGCATAGCATCGAAAACCTTGCCTTGGGAGCTATAGGCGCTGAGCAGCGACACGAAGCAAGCCCCATCGGGCACTTGCGTGAGTCTCATCGTCGAGGAGGTCTCTAAAGTTTTATCCAAAACGGTGGAACTTTTAAATCTTCCAGTGGTGTAGCAATGGGAAGCCAGCAAAACGTTCCAGGAGACCGTGTCGTGCTCGGGCATTCTCTGGAAAAATGCTACCGCAAGCTCCAGATGCCCGGCTTGGGCATACACCGCAAGAATGTTGGTCCACGAGTGTATGTCCTGCTGGGCCATACCATTGAAGAGAAGAAGAGCTTCGCTGATATGCCCGCGCTGGGTATATGCCGCCAGCATCACGTTTAGTGAGACCAAGTCGAGCCGCTCGCGCCGCCTCATGGAATCAAACAGACATCTGGCGTCCTCCACATGCCCGAGCCGCGAATATGCCCCCAGCATTGCGTTCCACGACACGAGGTCGTGCTGCGGCATCCCGTCGAACACGGCCCTGGATTCGCGGGGGTTGTCGGCGTGTTGGGAGCACGCCAGCAGCATCGCGTTCCACGAGACGAGGTTGCGCTGCGGCATGGCGGCGAAGATCTTGCGCGTCTGCTGGAGATGCCCGGCTTGGGCGTGCGCGGAGATTATTACGTTCCACGCGACGAGGTTGTGGTGTGGCATGGAATCAAACATGACTAGGGCGGTGGAGAGATCGCCGCTGTGAGCATGGGAGGAAAGCATCGTGATCCACGGAACCAAGCCCTTGTGGGGCATACGATCAAACATCTCTTTTGCTTTACTAAGATGCCCGTTTTCCCCATACGCTGCAACCATGGCTGTCCAGGAGACGAGATCTCTCTGCGGCATTTCGTCAAACAACGCCTGCGCTTGCGAAAGGCTTCCGTTTTGGCAGTAGCCACTGATCATCGCGTTCCAGCAGACAAGGTTTCTCTCTGGAATCTCGTCAAACAGCGCCCGAGACTGCACAAGATGCCCAGTTTTGGCGAATTCTGTGATGAGAGCCGTCCATGACACAAGATCCCTCTCCGGCATAGTGTCAAAGATGAATTTTGCTCTTTGCAAACTCCCTTCTTGCGCAAACGCGCTGAGAAGTGTGTTCCAGGAGAAAAGATCCGCCTCTGGCATGGAATCAAACACCCATCTAGTCTCCTCAAGATACCCATGTTCGGCATATGCTGCGAGCTTGGCGTTCCACGAAACAAGGTTCCACTGCGGCATTCCTTGGAATATCCACTCCATCTGCTCGACATTATCATTCTGCCCAAATCCCGCAAGCATCGTGTTCCAAGACGCAGTGTCGCGCCTCGGCATCGCCCTCTCAAAAATCTCCCCTGCCTCCTCCAGATGCCCATTCGCGGCATGCGCTGCTAGCACCGAATTCCAGCACACTACGTCGTGGGTCGGCATCCGGGCAAAGAGATCCATCGCGCGCTCGAGCTGCCCATTGCGCGCGTAGAGATTGAGCATCGCGGTCCAGGAATTGAGTCCCCGGTGTGGCATGGATTCGAAGACGCGCTGGGCCTCGCGGAGGTGCCCATTGCGCGAGTAGGCGACGAGCATCACTTGCCAGGAGAGCGCGTCCTTGGGCCATGTCTCGTCGTCGAAGATCTGGCGCGCGAGGGCTGCGCTGCCGCATCGCCCGTAGGCCTCGATGAGCTTGTTGGAGACGAAGGCGTCGATTAGAGCCCTATCCTTCTCGATTCTAGACTGGATTACCTCCGCCGCCGGGAGGGTCTTGCAAGATTGGAGAAGATCGAGGCATTTGCCCCGATCCAGTAGCATATTCCTTAGGGCGGGAGGGTGAATATTTACTCGAATATACTTCGTTTAAAATTCTTCTTCTTCTTCGTCTTGTTCTTCATCGTCGCTGCTGCTGCTAAAGTTCTCCTCGTCCTCCTCGTCTTGATCGTGATTCTCTTTAGATATTTTTCCCTCCGGAGCGTTGGCTCGCTGATGATCTTCCGGAGTTTCTACTGCGACATCTTCTTGCTTTCGATCGTCCAGGAATCCTTTCAAGTTCTTGACGTTTTCCATGGCGCGGAAAAACTCGACGCTGTCGCCTTGCTCCGACCTGCGCTGGAGGAAGTCCTGGAGGAGCTGCGGATAGCCGCTGATGAAGTGGGAGCTCTCCCAGGTTGCATCCCTCACGGACAGGTTCTCCCACTGCACGAGGAACGACGTGCACGTCGAGCTTGGGAAGAACTCCTGCTTGAAGTCGATGATCCGGAGTGGCTCGACGTAGAGCTTGCTTTCCTCTACGACCTCCGAGACCAGATCAAAGGCCGGGATCGAATCGTCGTCAATCACCTCGGCAGTGAATTCTATGCAGCGAAAAGATCTGGCTATAAGAAATCATTCAAAGGGAAAGCTCTTACTTCGATCTCTTAGAGCAGCGGCGTCTCTGGTTTTGTGGATCTTCGGATTTGCATCGTACAAGGCGTCCACCTCGGTTGAGCTTATGAAGTCCGTGGTCTGCTGAGCAGCATACAAGCGCGTGTACAATTCCGTCACATCGCACTGGAAATCGCTGCCTCGAGGAGTAAGCTTGGGCGACTGGCTGCCGCTACGAGGACTCTCAGTCTCCCTGTGTTTCTGAAAAGGATACAACTCTGCCACAGGCCGAGAACGTTTGTTTACTGACAAGAATCCCAGAGTTTGCGAAAAAACCTGATTCCCATGGAAAATTGTTGTTGCCAATTTGTTTGATCATTCCTTAGAACACACCTCAAACAAAAAATCAATACTACCAAAGAGAAAATCAAGGCAGGGACATGCCTAGTCAAGCGCTATACTACTCCTACGTGAAGAGCAAAAGAGAAGAAGTACCCGAGTCGAAAGAGTATACACCCTCGGAGTTCTGGCACCGTTGTTGGCAGCCTGGACGAACCAACCCCCCGTTTCCAGCAGCCATGGCATCATCCACAAAGCCTGACATTTTCCTGCCACACAATAGCGACAGTTTACCGTTTAGAGCATCCAAACAAAGCATCCAATCACTGGGAAAGAGAGAGCTTACTCGTCTAGTTTGTCACCAATACCAGTAGCGATCTCTTCCGTGGTTGAGACTGGCGAGGCCTTGGCCATGCGACTGAGCCGGCTGGGCTTGCCCCGGTGCTTGTTCTTGGCCGCCGCCGCCGCTGGAGCCGGCCTTGGAACCGCTGGCCTCGACTGTGGCGCATGGATATCCACCGATGAAATCGTGTAGCTGCTACTCCCCTTGAAGGGCTTCTTGGGGCCGTCGGACTTGGGCATCGCGGAGGGCGTCAGGCCATGCGATCGGCCATTCCCGGCGCGGTGGAGGCGGCAGCGAAAGGATCCCGCGTGTGTCGTCGGCGAGCAAGTGCATGTCGGCTTGCCTCCAGGCGATCGCGCGCCACTGCTGGAATCCGTGGCTCCGGCGGAAGAGCTCCTCCTCGACGGCACACTGTCCTTCTTGCTGGAGCTCTGCCCGGGCGTCGGCGTGAGATTTCGAGGCTTGAGCACCTTCTTGAGGAGATTTGTGCCATGCATCGCTGCGAAATCTGTGACAGTGCGCTCTCAGGGAGAGAAATTTCCAGAGAATCCTCAAATTTACCGCCGATCATCCGCTCCCGATCAAGATCCAGCAACACAGACACAATCCGACGCGCTCGATCTTGCTTCCTCTTCTTGCTGGCGATCCGCGCGGCGATCGATCGATCGGCTCCGGCAGTCACGGAAAGCGATCACTCGAAGCCCTAGAAACTGGGCGCCCAGAGACAAGAGCAAAAGTTTTGGAAAAATGGCGCTCTCTATCATCTAAACGGAGATTGGATTAATTTCTATTTTTTCTTGTTGCTAAGCAGCTAACTGTCGTACGGCTCTGGCCCATTCCGTGCGGCCCAAAGGGCGGAATGGCCACCTCTCTCTCTTCGCATTCGCATGGGAGGAATGTGACTACGTGTTTTCACGAGCACGGCACTGGGGTGTTCTTCCACGTCTGCCCGAAAATTGGAAAAGCTTTAAGCTTTGGTGGTCAGATCCACAGTCGCTGTGCTCGAAAAACCTGTGAATCTTCGATTCGTTCCTTGTTTTCTTATCTCCAAACAATGCATCGATCGTCGCGCGCTTCTTTCCTGACACCTGGTTCTTAAATCACAGGAGACATGGTTTGTTTTCTTCTCGAGTGGTGGAAACCAAGAAACAACCTACAATGGGAAAAGAAACTCGGCAAAAGACCTAAAAGAGAGAACCCAGTAAAACTTACACTCTCTCAATCGACAGTAGAAGATCGATCGATCGATCGATCGATGTATGGACAGCTACTTCTTCTTCTTCGGCGATGATGATCCACCGGAGGTGGGATTCCCGCCCTTGATATACCAGCCGAGGGAGAAGAAGAAGAACCCTGCTAGCAGCGCGCTGCCCCAAGCATTGCTGTAGTACTTGGCGTATGTCCTGGTAGCGTAGCGCCACTGCTCGCGCAGTGTCTGCGGATCCGGATTGACAGGATCGGGAGGATTTGGAACAAAGCCCCCAGCCGGCACCGCCATAGCTCGCTTTGCTCTGACCTAAAATCCAAGAAAATTCATATATCGAACCTTGGACCTCGAGTGAGAGAGAGAGAATCTCCGCACCTCAACGGATCATGAATATTCTTTACTTTATTCTATCCATAAGATGGATCGATCTTGCGCTCGATCGCCTCTTCCAGGATGCTTGATGCGGACCATCACTGCTCTCTGGATGTATGTGAGGGTGGAAACGCTCAAGAAGCTCGCGAGTTCCCTTGGTGGTGTATCTCCGCTGGGCGAGACAGAAATTGGATTCCAGCTGCAATGACAATCGATCGTGAATACCGAATATTTCAAGAATAATCTCAAGTCCTAAAAATGTGGAGCAAATGCTCTGTTTCAGGTGATACCACCTTTCTAGCAAAGAGAGAATAAATGGAGATATTTGTGTCTCGCCGGGTCTTTTTTACTTCTTGATTATTGCCAGAAACCAGATTGGAAGCCTGATCCGCGGCTCTGAGGTTTCAAAAGCTGAGATTATTCGATTAAGATGTATCCGGGAGAAAATGCGGGGGAATTCCAGAGCGTAGGTACGTGGGAGATTTGCAAGCAAGGATGACCAAGGTCGATATGAGCTCCCCCGGCTCGCAGAATCCGGGGCAACAGCAGCAAGATTGTCAAGTCAGTGGCCGGGAAGATTGGCAGATTCGCAATGCGGGTGCCCTGGCCGGGATTTCGCACAGATTGCCGAGGGCAAGCTGGGTGAAAGAACAGGCTCTTTTCTTCCGTTTGCTACCAAAGTGGAAAGTCTGGTTTTCAAAGTGATGTGGTTTGCCTTCACTGCCCACACACCAACGACACTGTCCAGATTATAAACCCCGAAGCTTTTGCAGTACATCAAACCAGGTACTCTTTCTCTCTTTCTTTTCTGTTTCGTTTGCATGTCATACGTGTGAACGACCGCATTCTAGTGTTACACGAATTTTTATGTCCAAGCTGTGCTTAAGGTATGTATGGTATGGCGTGCAATTTGTAAAAAACGTAACTTTGCATGCGTAAATTTTTTTCACGTCCATCAATGACTACATAACTTCTGAATGTGGGTTACACATGGCTCAGGAATGGCTTGGGGTGCTTGCGGTGAGCAAGCTCAAGAGCATCATGCACAAGTGATCAGACCAGCCTCAAGCTGGGAGGAGAACTCACCAAGAACCATAGCAATACTTGGATTGTTGATGCCAAGGGCCAAGTATTGCAAGTTAGGGATTGCGACAAGCTAAGCCTGGTAGTGCACGATCAAGCACTCAACAATCCATCCTTCCTGTTCCTGGAGAGGTCCTGAAGATCTACAGCGTGATTGGCGATTGCCAAGACCTCAAGAGCATCATCCTCAAGCTTCAGTTATCACGAAGGCCAGCAAGCTGCTCGATAGATAACTCGTGACAGTCCAAGGAGGTTTTCCAACTCTAGAACCTTCGGCTCCTCCTTGGCAAGAACAATCCCACCATGACCAAGCTGTGCAGGGATCTGCCCGCCATCCTTTAATCATATGCCTGACTTGGGCATGTGATATCTAGCTTGGACACCTGATGGCTTTCTGCTAGGAATATTGTCACTCAGTGTACTTTCACTTGCTCGAACCTCTCAGCTCTCACTTCCGGCAAAGCACAAGAAAGTTGCAAAATTTTGTCACTTAGCAAGATTCTAAGCTCTCATGTATTGTATTAGAAGCTAACTTCCACCATGGTGTTTCTGGTGCCTGGACAATACACAACCTGGTGTTTCCGATCAATTGCGAGTGAAATCTCTCCTCTTCTAGCTTTGCTGCAGATGGAGGCAATGCTGAAAATCATCCTGGCAATGCTTGTGGCGGCTCTTGTCGCCAACGTTGAGCTGCATAATGATTTCTCAAGGCAACATCTTGTCTTCCTCCATGCAGCTGCCTTCGTCAACTTCCTCTTGGTCACGTAAACTCCCGTGGAACAGCAGTGGAAAAAGCCTTTATCAATACAAATTGAAATGCTTCCTGTTGTTGATTTGGTAGTACTCATAAACAAGGAATTGCCAGCAAGAGGATCAAATAAGCCATAGAATAAGATCCAGCCTTGTAGCATGCTTAGGAGAAGATTGATTAGGTGGCAACCTTCATGATTTTTAGCTTTCATGATCAAAACATTTAACATTTGCTCTAGAAGACCAACACCACCACAACCAACACTTTCCATCTCTTGCATACCATTGCATATTTGAACAAACCCTATTCCACCTACACAATGAGTTTGCTACAACTTATTCACAGCTAGGGAGCAAATACCCCAGGCCAAGTGCCTGCAACAGAAGTTCTGATCTACATATTATTGGCATGAATGAATACATTAGAATGGGCATTATAGTACTGCTGAAAATTTATCTGACAATAAAGTATACTCTAGAATATTTTTTGGTGTGAGAAATCCACTAATGGATATTAGATTTGACCTATGGTGTGCCCATAGAAATCTACATATACAAAGCTACGTTTTTTACAAATTGCACACCATACCAAGGTCACAATAGCTGCTGATGTGGTTTTTGGATTTGGTATGTTTGTTACATTTAATTGATGTATAGTTAATTCCAGCATTATGTTTAGAAATATATATGGTTTGTTTTTCTTGCACACTAATATATCCTTTCATATGGGTTTTCACATAATTTTTTATATCTTAGACAGTATATAGTTTTTAATATAAATTATAGTTCATTGATACCAAATCTTGTGCATTATTTGACATGTGATCACAAATTCAAGCAGCTACCATCGACTAGACAATTGTGCTATGAAGGAAGCTCTTATTGATGGCTATGCTTTGGAGGTCCTTAATGGCTTGTGTTGTGAAGGAAGCTCTCATTGATGACTAGGCTATCAAATGACTTAATTTTTGTTGAAACCTTGTAACTTTCTGAATTTAGACTTTCATTTAGCCAATACTTTATGTAAAAATAAGGACATTTAATCACTTTTAATTAATTGGAAAATGAAGTTTATTTTTGTTCATAGGCTTTTTTCTTTTATATTTGAACCTATATAAATCGCCTCTTAAATTATTCTTGCAGTTCCACGTACATGAGCACTAGATGAACTAACGTAGAGAGTGGAAGCAAGAATGGAGTTGTGGAGCATCCTGCCTTTGTAGAGATCTTTGGAGACGGTTCTCTCTTATAAAATAGAAGATTTATTATTTGTATTATTTTATTTTAGTAACAGCTCGTTGTCCAGAGCGGTTTAGTTTATTTGGAGCTTTTGTGAATGCTTGCCATCCAAATATTTTGTGTAGACATTTGTGATGTGCTCTTGGTATAAGGTTGACTTGTAGAGTGGCGGGTTTTGCTCATCAATAAGTTCTGGCAGGGGTCCTATCACAGCATCCCGTGATGGATTGCAAAATGCCACGATGGAGAGACGCGTTTGATCAGGCTGGACAAGGACTCGGTGCTCAATGCTCTTGTATTTTCCATTGCTCAAAATCTGGCATGGAAACGAACAAAGCCATGATTAAAATCAATTCAAGTCACTTACTTCAAGCTGATCAGCAATGTTCACAATGAATGCATTCTTTATAGGCTTCAAGTCGTACCAGAGATCACCTTTCCTGGCCTGGAGTCCGCCAACTTGATCTTCAAACAGGATTGTCAAACCGCCACTATCGGTGTGGCCATTCATCCCAAGAGCAAGGTCGGGATTTGGGCACGGCGGATAGTAATTTGATCGCAAGATCATCTCTGAGTCTCCAAACGATTTCGCGAGGCAGTTTGAATCCAGCCCGAGTCCTTCAGACAAAGCAGACATCAGAGTCTGACTCAGATGTCTCACGCTTGAAACATAGCTGGAAGCTAGCCTCCTGCAATATCCAAGAAACCAAGCAATCTCATGAAATCCAGATTAGTCAAGCTCATTTACTTGTAGCAGGCTGGTTTTTCCGGCCATGGATGCTCTTTTTCTCTGTTTGAAAAGTAGTGCTGGAAGTGATCGTGCCACTCCATATGAGTCTCTTGAGAAGGTGTCATACTCGTGCAGTACCGCACGGGCACAAACACCTCCTCCGTATAATACTTCATCTTCTCCTCAATAGGAAGATCAAAGAGCTCAAGCACTCCATGGACCATGCCTTGCATGGTTGCAACAGGAATCCCGTGGTTGATCACCTGCATGTGACATCATATTATGAATGATCCTTTTGAGCAGGTACACATCAAAATACCTGAAAGATGCCCCATTCACTCGAAGCCTTGCACAAAGTTTGAACAAATTTCTCTCGGTCACTCTCCAATGCAGCCATGTCAATCACAGGGATCTCCACTCCAGGAACGATCAAATGCTTCACAGCTCGGTGGCTGGGAGGTTTGACATAACGGCCAGGAATGGTAACGAGGCCATTATCCATGAGAGCTTTGACACCCTTTGGAAGAACATCAGTCTGCTGATTGGCATTTGCAACAAAGGAAGGCATAGTTACAAACTTAGGAGGAAATAAGATGAACGAGATGGCATAGAATTGGTCGGTTTATATAGTTGATTTTTCATGATGTTAAAGTCCAAGTTGGTGGCCGCGATAGATCTTCTTTCTATGGCAGCCCACGTGGCCATCACCTCAATTCCTTAGAAACAACACGTCTTTTCTTTTTCGAGACTCTGGATACTAAGCGACGAAGCCGGGAGCAGCAGCGAAGGAGGGAGCCGACATCGCGGCTTCGATTTTCTACATCCATCAGTCACGAGATTATCGAAATAACATAAATAGATAATCCATTGTCAAGCATGAGGATGGATGCAAAGATGTCAAGATTTGAAATTAGAGCTACATCTTGCAGATCTTCCTCTCCTGGCCTCCTGGTCTTCAGTCCTTGTTGTGTGCTGCTTGGACACATTTTCTTTCTGGAAGGGCCGGGTAGAAAAACTAGTCATTGAGACAAGAAAGACAGTGAATATGTTCTCTTTCGATTTGAATTCTATCCATACTTTAAATATATGCTCTCCACTCTTATGTCAATCTAAAGTTTAGCATAGGATCATGGTTGGGACGATCAAACACCTCTACAACAGTCGATGGATGGTTGCATTGGCAAGTTTCTTCCTCATGATCTCCTCCGGAGGATCACTCAACAATTTCAGCCTCTTCTCGCAGCATCTCAAGCTGTCCCTCGACTACAACCAAAAGAATATCAACACCATAAGCTTCTTTAAGGACGTTGGCACCAGCGTCGGGATTCTCTCCGGCCTCGTCTATGATCTCACCGGGCCCTGGGTCGTGCTCCTCCTTGGATTCGCGCTAAACTTTGCTGGATACTTCACGATATGGCTGGCTACAACGCAGAGAATCGCCCAGCCCCATGTCTGGGAACTGTGCTTCTATCTCTTTATGATCGGCGCATCGGCAGCCTTCACCACCACCGCTGTTCTTGTGGCCTGTGCCAAGAATTTCCCCAAGAACCAGGGCATGGTTCTTAGTCTTCTCGACAGTACGCAGGGATTGAGCGTTGCGATGTTCACGCTGCTTTACCAGGCCTTCTTCTCTCGCAGTGACGATTCATTCGTTCTCTTGCTGGCCTGGTTTCCATCACTCTTGTGCCTTCTATTCGCGTTTGTCATTCGATCCGTCCCACTCGACGGCCGCTACAATGACTCGAGAACGCTCTTCGCCTTCTTGTCAGTAACTTTGATCCTGGCTGGATATCTCATGGCTATTATCATCCTCCAGCATTTCGTGCGCCTAGAATCTCGGATCATCAAGGCCTTCTTTTCCATTATGCTGATCATTCTCTCCATCCCAGCTCTTGTGGTTCTGAGACAGGAATCCAAAACCCTCCGGCATCGCCATCGCGAAGAAGTTGATGTTGATCTAATGGAAAACGCAGCGATAGAAACTCCTCAAATAGATTATCAAGACGTAGATCCTCCGGATCATGAAGCAGACGCCGCTGCTCCAGCTATCGCCTCGCACATTTCGATCTTCTTCATTAAAGGATCGCCCGTCAAGCGAGGAGACGATTTCACAATCCTCCAGGCGCTCTGTAGCATCGACATGTTTCTCATCTTCGTGGCTTCAACCTGTGGCATTGGCGCTGTGCTAACTGTGACCAACAATTTCGGCCAGATTGGAACGTCCCTTGGCTACTCCCAGGCCGGAACAAACACTTTCATCGCCCTCCTTAGCATCTGGGACTTCATCGGTGGCGTTGGCGTTGGCTTCATCTCGGATATATGCCTCGCCAGCTATGGCGTCGCAAGGCCCTTCTTCCTGTGCCTGGTTCTCTTGCTTCTCTCGCTTGGGAGCTTGATAATCGCTCTTGGGCTTCCCGGAGCGCTCTTCTACAGCTCGGTTTTGATTGGGCTGTCAATCGGTGGCCAGTGGTCGGTTCTTTACACCATGATAGCGGAGATCTTCGGACTCAGGTTCTATGGGACGCTCCAAAACGTAACTTACGTCGCTAAGGCGCTGGGAACTTATGTTTTGTCCGTCCGGGTGGCAGGAGTTTTATACGACCGCGAGAGTAAGCTTGGACCAAGCGATGGAAGTTTGGATGGTGATGAACTCCTTTGCCATGGACCACATTGCTACAGAACAACCTTCTTCGTCATGGCTGGAGTGTGCTTGTTTGCATCCATTGTGAGCTTGATATTGTGCATTAGAACAGCAAAGTTTTATAGCGTCACTCTTCGAAAGAGACTAACTGGTAAATAAATGTTAGCTGCTGAAATGTCTATAAGGCACTATAAGGCTTTTGCATTAGTAAATATATCAAAGATCACCCTTTCTAGCCTGGAGTCTGGATTGTCAATCTGCTGCTGCCATTCATCGGGATTTGGGCATTGCAGATAATAATTCAATTGCAAGATCATTTTCGAGTCTCCAAACAATTTCGGTAGGTGGCTTGAATCTAGCTTGAGTCCTTCAAACAATGTTGATAGCAAAGTTTTACTCAGCTGTTTCATGCTTGTTTAATGCTTGAAATATAGTTGGATCCTGCCCAAGGCACAATATTCCATCTGTATAATACTTCATCTTCTCCTTGATAGGAAGATCAAAGAGCTTTAACACTCCTACCTTACATGGACCATATCTTCCATGGTTGCAACAGGAATGCCAACTATCTAATGTTGATTTATAAATTATAAATATGTTTATAATTATTTGATCAATTAAATTATTTAACAATAATAAACATGGTTCCATGACTTGAAGCCTATAAAAAGCCTGTGATGTTCATTCATCATGAACATCAAGACAGATTCGTATTTGGTTGCGACAGTGCATGCAATGTGGCCTCGGCAATGCATGCTGCTCTCCTGATCCGGGAGACAAGCTTTTCCACAAATTGGATGTCTTCAACTTGTGAAAGCTGATATTGTCCTCCATATTTTGAATATGAAAAATTGGAATATCTATTTTTAGACAATGATTATTGTGAATGGAAGAATAGCAAAGTGAATGGTGATTGACATGTGGAGTTAGAAGTGGCAAAGAGCTTATATCTTTCAAACATGACCACTACCTATTTTGTCACCCTATATGCATGATAAATATTATGATAGACACTAAAGTTTTAGAAATTAAAAAAACTAGAAAGTGAAAAACTAAAAAATTGTTACATGTTGCATGTATGGTTTGCTTAACAGTAGTGTTATTCTTACTTATTAATCCAATTGATTAAATAAAGTTTATAATTATAAGAATGTTTATAATTTATAAACACAAGATTAATCTTATTGCATATCAACCATTAGATGATAGACTAAGAAATAGTATACTAGAAAAGGTTTAAGAAATTTTATAAATTATACATATGTCTATAAATTATAAATACAAGATTAATCTAAATGAATAAAAACCGTTAGAGTAGAATATCCTAGAATATCTAAGCATATTCTAGGTCTATCCACTACCATCTCACCCTTTACAGGTTTTCTTAAGCAAACAAAAAATGTAACTATTTATAATTCAGAGGTTAATGTGATATTTAAAATTAAATTCTGAAGTGAAGATCTAAAACTTTTCTTTTTTAATTTATAAAGATATAAAAATTAAAATATATCTATATACTTCTTCTTATATTTTTATATAAAATTTTATTAGATATGAAAATTAAAATTTTATTTAACTTTACAGCTTATATTATTATCAAGACTATATATCATATCTGAATTAAAATATTATCCAAGATTTGGAAACTTTCAAGTTTTAAATCCATGTGATATTTCATAAATACTTGCAACATAGAGCTTACACATATATACTTAGTAAATTATAGTGATACTAAAGAAATATTAACATCCAAAGGAGTTTTTAATATAGTTATTAAAGTTAAAGAATACTGTATTATAAGAAAACAAAAATTTTTATATATTTGATTTTTATTAGAGGATTTTGATATATGGTAGCTTCAATTGTGAGTGCTTGGAATATGGAAAGGGAATACAAAAATGTGCATATCAATTATCCCAAAAACCCTAGCTTATATAGAGGAACGAGTGGTCTGCATTGAAACCAATCCAATGGCTACCAAAATCCCATTATGCTAATATTAGTATATAGCATCATAGCCGTACACTTGGCCCTCGCATTATCCCCCCTCTTGGAATAATAGAAAACCATCAGGGTTCTTTTGTAGACAGGCTGGGATTTAAAGGGACGTTAGGAGGAGGCAGATTTGTAGGTGGTATTAATTGCTCTTGATCCCTTTATATGAAGCGTTTCAACCGCTGCATATGCACAATCTCTAAAGGATTGTCCTACTGGACGTCATGCCAAACCTCATAAACTTGTGATCCAACCTGTCGCAACACCCGATACGGTCCTTTCCACTGTGTAAGGAGCCTCTTAGATAAACTACTGTAAGGTGAGGAAAATGGACTAACACCAAATCATCCATTTTGTACTCCGCAAGTGCACGATAATGGGAGTTGTACCGCCGTTGTTGTCCCACTTGTACGCGGCCTAAGTGTTTGGCAGACTCTACTTGGACAAGTGGAAGAATGTTCGTCAAATACTGATCCCATGACCTAGCATCTGTAGCTCGTGGCAATCACGAAAGTAAACTTAGCTCCGTTGGTAATACTAGATCATGACCATATAGGAGTTTATATGGTGAAGCACCAACAGAATTCTGCACCCCTGTGATATATGCATACCAAAGAGACGGTAAATAACCATCTCAATCCAAATGTTGAAAGTTCACATACTTCGCAATCATCCCCTTGAATGTCCAAACGAGCCGTTTCACCAGACCGTCTGATTGTGGATGATAAGCACTCGTGAAAATGTGGCGTATCCCCAACTGAGACATCAAAGCATGAAATGCCTCAGCCATAAATGCGGGACCATTATCCGAAAGAATTCGCTCTGGACAAGAATGCTGAAACACCACTCGATTGAGGAGGAAGTATCCAACAGCAGTTGTAGAGGTGCTAGCAAAAGCACCAACTTCCACCCAACGAGTCAAGTAATTAAAAGCAATAATAACATACTCATTGTTAGCAGTCGATTATTGAAGAGGTCCCATAAGATCAAATGCCACCAACTCAAACGGACGGGAAACTGCAATTGACTCTAACTATCCTTCCGCAACAAAAGGGGGAGTATTACGAGCTTGGCACCAAACGCAGCTATGCACATACTGGATAATATCGTGTCGCATCTTCGGCCAATAGAAAGACTTGTGCAGCTTCTCGGTTACACGACAATGTCCCATATGCCCACCTAGAACAAGAGAATCATGGTAGGTATGGAGAAACCGCAGAATAAAGATAGTGTATGTGACTAATTTTTCCATGCTACTTTAGTCACTTAACCACACCTCTAATTACTTAGAGGAGTCTCACTCACAACCTCCATAAATTCTATTTTGGACTTGGGCTTACTAGCCCCGAGAATAGCATCCCCGCCACTCAACCTTTGCACTTGGTCCAAGTGCTTCATGTGTCCGATCCCATGACCGACATCCCAAAGTACCACCGACATATCAGCCCATTATGCTAAGGCCATGCCCATTCACCTTGGTCACATCGGTGGTTTGACACCACCTACATCACCGTCCCATCTCTCAAAGATTGGGCCATCTGTTCATGAGTGATCATCCCAGATCCACTCCTTAGCATCCTTAGGATGCCTACAGACATGGAGATTAGCCTTCCCCAATATCCTTTTTTCAGTCCCCACTAAGTCCCTTTTTGCCCATAGCCATGTTCACCAATACTGCCACTGGATCAAGGCCCACAAGCCCGACCACTAAGTCCCACGGTCCTCTGGGACTTCCTCACTGCACGACTGTATCCTTGGTCACTACACCAGAGGACTACTCCTCTTCCTTTCCACAGTTTGGGCCTTTTGGGACAACATTTCGGAACACTGTGGCCTTACGCAAGCCTCGTGGGTACTTTCCCTGCCTTCCGCCTTTGGGTGCTCTAGCCATGAGCTTAGAGCGAGGTTCCATTGAGCCACGCTTAGTATCCAAGTAGGTAGTGCCACCCACACTTGGATTGGGAGCATCGGCCAGTCGATCTCCTGGGGGAATTAGAGCTGGCTCTTGAACACTTCACCAAGCTACCCTGCTTGTCGGTCCATATTCACTCTAGTCTTGGACTTCCTAGTGGGTAGCTCATCACCCAACACTAGGTACAACCTTCTTGGGCCAAACTGACCTTTCTTGGCCAAACTAGCTCCACTGCAGTCCTCCCTCTACTATACTTTTGGAGCCCCCCAGGGTTTGGGAGACGAACGCTTTGGGCTTTCACCCTCTCAGACTCGGGCTCGGGCTTGGGCTCGGGCTCGGGCTCGGTCTCGGTCTCGGTCTCGGTCTCCGTCCCAATCTCGGTTTCGGTCTCGGTCCTAGTCCCGGTCTCGGTCTCGGTCTCGGTCCCTTTTTAGAGCCTCACTTATTGCCTGCTTGAGCACTTTGTTGGGAGTTCCACTCCCGCTCTCGACCTTTCAAGGAGGAGCTTTTAGTCCAAATGTGTTACGCTTATTTGGCTTTCGCTTCAGTCACTACCTCGCTCCACTTTGGGGCCTAGGGATTTTGTGTCTCACAACTCCACCACCCATAGACGAAGTTCGATGTCCTCATCGAACAATAAACCTCTTTTATAAAGTAACACCCACATGTATTACCATTTCCATCCTTGGCACCCAACCAAAGTTTGTCTATGGTTTGACACCAAAGGCTCATCATGCCTTGTCCATCCTCTAAGGAGTATAGTCTTTCCAAGTTAGAGACTTATTTGACCACTTGTGGTGGTTTTCTCCATTTATTGGTTTAGTCATCGCTAAACCCATTAGAGGCACCTTCTCTATCTCAATCCCACTACTGCTTCTCGAGTAGTCTCAGTTTCCATTGATTGAACATTTGCACTTTGGAACTTTTACTTTTTGACTTCTTGAAATTAATTTCCTAGGTGTCTCCAACACTTTGCATTGCACATATTGTGCAACTCCACTTCCCCATCTTAGGAAGTTCTCTACTTTGAGGGCATCATCATCCTCTCTTTTATTTCATGCCACCTTGGGCACTAAGTTCCAGGTATCATACTTTGTGCTAGGGCTGTCCATGGCCCTCCCTTGGAGCTCCCACTTTCGCCAAATCGGAGCAGTTGGGAATCCATCCTTGGAAACACATTGTGTTTCCCACAATTCGTCAGCACCCAACACAATAGTGTTCCTAGCCTAACTTTGCCATTTGGATTCTTTCC